GAGAGGAGGCTCAATTAATAATCTTACTTAAAAAAAAAAAAAAAACATGTACATGCAACATAAATATGGGGTTGGGATTTATGAAAAGAGAACACTGTTTCGAAGAGTGGGAAGAAACGTTGAAAAAGGCTGTAAAACAATAGCATTGCGAACGTGTTCAGGGAGAGTTGACCAAAGGCGAGGGAAAGCATGGAGGCAAGATAAATGCAGGGATTGGGTCCTAGCTTGCCGGTGCTGAAACAAAACATCATGAACATGGCGGGAATTAACAGAAACATTGTAAACACATTGATTACATTCAACAATATTGAACAGACACTTGGAGACAAACGAGAGAACAGCATAATTACGACGACAAGATAAGTCAGACCAACGCAGAGTTTCTAACCTATCAGGGTAACTCATCACACCACACTTCTGGCCAAGGATAAAACGGGTCGCACGCTTTTGAACTTTCTCTAAATTGTCAACCTGCTTTCTTGTCTGAGGGAGCCAGGCAGGCACACCATACTCTAATATGGGAAGGACGAGGGCTTTATACAGTGAAAGTTTTGCTGAAGTAGAAGAGTTGAAGGCAATGGTTTTGATGAGAGCAAGTGTGCGATTTGCAGAGGAAATTACAGACTTAACATGATCGTTCCAAGACAGCTGAGCATTCAGAGTGACTCCAAGATATTTGACCGATTGTACAGCTGTCAGTGGGATACCTGAAAGAAGATAAGAAGGGAGGGATTGGTGTCGTTTACGGGAGATGTGCATAAGTTTGGATTTACTAGCATTGAAGGTCATACCGTTGGAATCACTCCAAACACTCAGCTTATCAAGGTCCTGCTGGAGAGTGGAAACATCAGAATGAGCATGAACTTTACGGTACAATAGTATATCATCAGCGAATAAAGCACAATCAGAATTAATATTATGGGCGATGTCATTGACGAATATGTTAAAAAGAAGAGGTCCAAGTACGCTGCCCTGTGGAACGCCAGACCTCACTGCACACCACTCCGAGGTTTGTCCAACAAAAGTTACTCTCTGGAGACGGCCCACTAAGAAATCCTTGATCCACCTCCAGAGAGCACCTCTTATGTTACACCCAGAAGCAAGTTTACAGAGAAGGATGTCGTGAGGCATGCGGTCAAATGCTTTACTCATGTCAAGAAATACTGCATCTATTCTGGGTGGGTTACGCTGGTCAAGAGCAGATGCCCATGTGTGATACACGCTGAGCAACTGCGTAACACATGACCTACGGGGAATAAATCCATGTTGATAGGTAGACATTAGACAATTGTCCTGTAAATGAGTTAGAACATTATCTGAAATTACTCTCTCCATGATTTTACACACGATGGATGTGAGAGCAACAGGCCTATAATTAGTCAATTTGCAACGGTCACCAGATTTAAAAACTGGGGAAATGTTTGCAGTCTTCCATGCATGGGGAAGTCTGCCACAGGAAATGGAACCGGTGAAGATTCTGCACAAAATTGGTGAAATCGTGTCAACAGTATTACGCAAGAATCTCACACCAATTCCATCTGGCCCGGGAGCCCTCCCCAATGGCAGGGAACAAATAATCCTGTGTATACTACCAGCAGAAAAGCTGATGGAAGAAAGACTGCCAATAGGAAAATCACAAGGAAGTGGTTCATCTGGAATACATTTTGGTTCAGAAAAAACAGAGGCAAAGTAGGTATTAAAGGCAGAGGCTATCTCCTGTGGATTGGAAAGGAGGTTATCACCATGTTTAAATGACAATGGAGTAGGGGACCGTTTTCTGCTTCTAACAAAGGACCAGAATCTTTTCTTATTGTCCTTAGAGAGAAATAAGTTATCAACATAAGTCTTGTAAACTTTGCGGGTAAGGGATTTTAATCGGTTGCGAACAGTCTTGTAGGTTTCCCAGTCTTCTGCTAGACCAGACTTCTTGGCTCTTTTGAATAGACGGCGCTTTTGTCCACACAGGTGCTTTATTTCGGCATTAACCCAGGGGCAGTTCTTCTTTCTTGATACTGTACTACAAATTGATGGGATTTTTTTAATCCTCAAAATTATGATTATTGTCTTCATATACTCTTGCAAGTTACTGACTTGTCGGCAAATTATTGTTGTGTAAAAGGAACTCGATACACTGCGCACTTTAGAATAAAATCGAAAAATCGTGTGTGGAGTAGTGCGTGCCTAGCCTATACGGGGGGGGGGGGGATAAGAGAATGTACAGTTACAAATTCCATCTTTATTATGCATCACGTATTCCAGCAAAGAAACCATTATGCCGTGGTGTAATAAGTGCATCACACGAGCCCAGTGAAAATTTGTTCACCTAATATTATCCACGCATGTAATAATGTGAATGACTTCACAAGCCTGCAGAAGAAACATTTCACTTTGTACATTTTTTAAGATATGGCACCCCATAGTTCGTCGCGTCCTGAAATAATTTTATAACGTGTAGTTGGTGTCAGAAGTTATTCAATTCTTCACATAATGTCCACATTTCAAGTGAATATTTCTATTTATATTTTTGATTTTCGGATTTCAGTACACTTGAAAACCTTGCTGGTATTTTAATAGATACAAATGACAAGATGATTTCGTGCCAAGACATGTTTTGTACTGGTCCCCCCCCCTTTTTTTTACTGTTCGTTTGTTTGTGAAGTTATAACTCGTTAATTGATTGAGCGTCTGTAGCAACGGACACCTGCACTGCAGACCTGGTGCATTCGTTTGAGCTTTGGGTAAATTGTTTCTCAATATATTGTGGAATTCAAGGGATTTACGTAGCATGTTTGAGCTAGGAATGACTTGTTCCTGTTTTATTTACTGGAATTAATGTAGTACACCAGCACCCAAAGGGGGGAAATGCCGAATCCCTCAGCTCCATTTTGCTGTCGCTGTCGGTTGCGTGTACAAAATCAATGGGAGTTGTTGCCCCATAAATGTGGCCAATTTACTGGACTACCTCCGTAAACATAGGCCACACATCCACATGTACAAAAACGTGTCGCACTTTGTCAAATTTTGATTTTCACGTTTAGGCTTAGTTTGTACTGGTTTTTTTGCTTTAGAAGCATACTCAGCCTCTTTATAGGCTAATCAGAAAGTGCTGCCTTTTTCAGATGTCTAATTTTTGTGAAATTTCATGTTGAAATTTTGATACGCAAACGTGTGCAAATGAATCTGGAAATTTCACGAAAAATAGACATCTAAAAAAGGCAGCACTTTCTGATTGGCCTATAATGGGTGAGTATGCTTCTGAAGCAAAAAAACCCTACAAACTAAGCCTAAATGTGAAAATCAAAATTTGACAAAGTGCGACACGTTTTTGTACATGTAGATGTGTGGCCTATGTTTGCGGAGGTAGTCCAGTAAATTGGCCACATTTATGGGGCTATGGGAGTTGACGCATGTTATGTAGAATTTTCTATAAATCCTCACTCAGTCAAACATTTGGGTTTTTTTCCTCCTAAATGTTTTGCATAACTTTTGAAATCATTGTGGTGATATATTATAATGAAAAAAGTAGTGTCAGAAAACTGCATTTGGAAAGAATGTGACACCACTTTTTTCTTCATAGGCCCTATCAAAGTATCATCTCAAGTAAAGGTCAGTCATTGCAAAAATGTTTAAAAGACAAATCTGGGACTGAGAAACATTTACAATTTTGTTTGGAAATACTTTAAAAAAAATCTTGACTCACCATAGAAGTACACAGCCCCTGGCCTGAAGTGCCGTCTGGCTACTGCATTCTTTGCCTGCATTTTTCCTTGTCTAACATAATTTGAAATTTTTCTCAGTCCAAAATGTTTCTTTTCCCCTTTTTCCAGCATATTTTTTGCTACTTCTAGAATCAGAAGGCACTCCGTTAGCTCCGTTAGCTAACTTCTTATTCTAGCAGTAATTTTGTGCAGTTACTGACTGTCTTTTGGTGTTCTTGTTGGGCGCAATCCGTGGATCTACGCGATTGGTCGATCGTGCCCTCATCATTTGATTGCACCGCCATCAATCCTTCACATTTTCTTTCCAATTCACGGCTCCAGAAGGATTTTCTTGATCCACTGATTGTGCCCAACATAACGTTAACCATACCTCATTCATTCCACTTGATGAAATGTAGACTGCAACTTCTTTTCATTTGTATAATATTTTTAACCAAAATGCTGCTCAACCTCAAACTCACCCTAGGGACTAGTCAACTCACCCCTTAGACAGTAATACCCTCTCCCCTTGAACCCCGCCCCCCCCTCCCCCCCCCCCCCCCTCCCCCACCCCTCCCCTACCCCTCCCCTGGCCATTTCCCCCCTAGCCAAGTTACCCACTGGCCATGAAGTGATGAACATTGACAAAAATGTATCCAAGGATTGTCCTGTTTCTTGTGTTATATAGTAGAATCCTGCCACCAGAATTAGAAGCTGTTACTGCGGTGGTGTCATGCTCACGCGCATGCTCATGCAAAAATTGCATTCTATAAGACGAGGGGTGCTCACATTTGTGGTATTCCTATTGCTCGTAGGAGCCAGGGGTGTATGCATACTTCCTGAATCCAAGTTTACTCTCATATTTCATATGTCCATGCTTTAAAGATGTGGGATTCTGAAAAAAATGGAAAGTTTCAATTGAAATTGCCAATTTAATAAGGTAAATTTTATAGTTGACAATGGTTCCAACTATAGTTTGCAATGGTCCCAAGTTCCAAACTATAAGTCAGACATTTCATATTATTAGTGGGACTGTCCCAACTATAGCTTGCACTGGTTGGGACCGTCCCAAATATTAGTTGGGTGATGTTCCAACTGTAGCAGGCCTTTGCTGGAGTTCGGACGTAACATTTCCAATGAGACATCCACAATTAGAAATAAATGCCAACACTTTGTTGTAACACTTTGTAATGTGTCAAAAGGAAGTACCCACTCCTAATATCCTTTTTTTTTTCACCACGAAAGAGATTTTTTTTTTGCATTTTTCTTTTAAATTTCAATAAAAAGAGGAAAATGATAAAATTTAACTTCTGCTTTGTTTTCAGCATTTTCTAAAACAAATCCAAAGATGGTGATGGTCATTGCAGTCTTCGGTGCCACCGGCACGCTGGGAAACTCAGTGGCCCGCGCCCTACTCCAAGATTCCTACAACTTCCAAGTCCGCGCCGTCACTCGCGATCCTAACAAACCTGAGGCGATCGCCCTGGCTGACAAAGGAGCCGTAGTCATCAAAGCCGATATGAACGACCGGGAGAGTCTGGTGCCGGCATTGAAGGGGGCTCACGGCTGCTTTGTAGCAACCAACCTGCCGCTCTCAGACCCAATGTGCCAACAGCTTGAGTATCAGCAGGTAAATATAGTTCTGTTACAGTAGTGATTTTCCACTTGCCAATGCTACTAATCGCTTTTCCTTACGGATTCATGAATATACAAATATTGAGTGGCTCAGAGTGAAATGGGTGCATTATCGCAAGGTAAACTCTAGACTTTTCCATTTCACGAGGCAAAGCCGAGTGAACTGGAGAAGTCCAGATTTTACCAAGCGATAATGTTCCTCCCATTTCACGATTTAAAGCCACTCAATATTTGTTTTATATAACTGACATATAGATCCTTGTCGTTTGATATATTTGCACTTCTATTTCAATACAAAGTTGGTGGAAAACGTATTTCACTTTTCCAAACAACCCTTCACGAAAATGTTTGAACCAAACTTTGGCCGGCTTGCATAGCACTGGCTCTGTGGAACAATACGCACTACGATGAACGCGCACACCAGCTTGCATTTGCTCACAAATACCGCGTCATTGAACAAAAAGGATCCTAATACTGTTCAATAGTTTCTCCCATTCCCCATGGGCGAATGGGACTTTTTGAGCCCTGGCGCGGCGTGAATGGGAGCAATAACGAATGTCATGTGATGTGAGTTTCACCAATCAAATGACAAGGATCTGTATGTCGGTTAAATAGACATATTAACCTTCCTATTCAAACATGCATGCTGAGCCATGCTGTTACTTGGGTCAAAATTGGTCAAGTGACCCATTGGTGTGTTAAAAGTATACCAGTGGAAGTGAAAGGAAACTTTGACCATTGGTGACCTTTTAAACAGCCAGGAGGTAAATAGAAAAAAGTGCCCCCTTTTTCAAATTTCCAATGACTGGCCGATCACTTCCTCACACCCCCCCCCCCCTAAATATTTTTGGATCTGCTGGTGTGCTGTCCCATCACTTATGTGGGTTTGATCGCCCTGTTAAAGTAACAATTGTTCAAAAATATGTGCGCACAATTGTGCTGTATAGGATACTGCTTGCTTCAGGAGTAAGGCTTTGTTGGTTACTTCGAAAGCGTGCTAAGGCCTTTGGGTAAGGAGAGAATAATAGGAATTCATAACTTTTAATTTTTTTTTGGCTTTTGGATTTTCATCTGTCCCATCTGAATATTCTTTACAATGCACTGTGTCATACATTATCTTTTCTTTTTTGGGGTTTTTTTTTGGTTCGTAGGGAGAATGCGTAGCCGATGTGTGCATGGCAATGAAGGTTTCGCACGTCGTCCTCAATGCTCAGAACCACGTCAGCAAAGTAATAGGCGTCAAAGCCAGACACTATGACGCCAAGGCCTGCATCAATGACTACATGAATGAGAGAGAGCTGCCACTGACCAGCATCATCCTGCCGTTTGCCTACGAGAATTTCCTGGGCGACTTCAAACCGAAACTACTTCAGCAGCATGATTATTCCATCAGTGAGTCTTAGTGTACAAATAGACCGGACTTTGGTATGGACAACTGTAGATATCTCTGAGGGCTACTAACAAAAGCTTGTGACCATGGCCCAATTTCTGGGCTCTGCTAACCACAGAATTCCGTGCTTACGACCACAAATTTTGTGCTAACCACGCTAGCAGAAAAATTCTGTGCTGACCCGTAAGCGCAGAATCCTTAGTGACGGGGTATATGCATGCACAGAAGCAAAAATTCCTTGCTAACGCGTGAAGAACGCTTACCGTAAGCACGGAATTTTCTGCTACAGTAAGCAGGGATTTTTCAGTAACTGTAAGCAGAGCCAAGAAATTGGGCCAACGTCAGTAGTTTCATGGTTAATACATGCTTACACTCCTGATGAAAAGATGATAACGAGACATTTTTCAGGGGGGGGGGGAGTTAAACAAATTTTTCCCCCAAAGTTATTTTGATTTGCCTGACGGCCGTGAAACAGAAATGATGCCGGGGTTTGAGAAACGGCCTGAGACACATTGGTTAAAGGGAAGAAACAACATTTGCAAACATCAAAAACCCAAAATGATCAAATTATCATGATAGAGTTGACAGTCTGAAGCATCCTGTAGAATTGTGGCTCCGAGTTTAAGAGTTTTCCACCTGAACAGCTGGCAAAAACGTCCATAAATTTTGGACTGACGAAAAACAGAACTTGTATATTGGAATAAAAACTCTTTGGTTTCAATCCAGTTATTACGTGTATACATGCTATTTTATGTGAGGAAACAGGTTTCAGAGTGTTCAAGCAATGTCAAAACCAATAACCATAAAGAAAAAAAACCTAATGTGCCAGTTGTTCCCTGTGCCATATTTTTGTGTCCAATATTTTTCCCTACATGTTCTACCACCAAAACAGCCCTGCTTGTTATTCCATGTACTGGCCGAAACTGCCTCGGCACTCTGTAGTTTTGTCAGAAGAATATTTACAATATAACACAATTTCGTACAGAAAATGGGTTAAACGTTATGCATATTTGCAATGTCTGATATGATCGTTTTTATGTTTGTCGACTCAGGTATCCCTATGGGCGATCTGTCTTTGAACATGCTGAGCATCAAGCAGGTCGGGGAGGCAGTCCGTTACATCTTCAGCAACAGGACCAGCACGGTGGGCAAGACCTTCTCCCTAGTGGGGGACAAGCTGACGGTCAGAGAGATTGCCTCCGTCCTGACCAATCATTTAAGACCAAACGTGGTCCGAGATGCAAAGGTGAACATTAGTATTTTGTGCTAACAATTCTATTTTAGAAGATATCCGCTCCGTTCACAAGTACCCCCTCACCGGCAAAGAGAGTACAGTTGGGGGTGACCGACCGACGCCATCTTGCCTGACTGCAATTCATTTGCTGCGAAGCACGGCCACTGTGTGTACATCATAAGCTCTATGGTGTACATAGTACAAATCCCCTGGTGTACGTGCGTCACACACAAGGAACGGTGCGCGTCAACCAGCGAAATGTCCCGCCCATGGGATGTCGTTTCTAGGTAAAAGGGCGCCCTCTTTTGTCGGCGCACGGAGCTCATAGTAGGAAAGGCTTAAAGGTTTGCAATGAGGAGTCTAAAGATATAAGGTAAATGTGGTAATTCAAATGTCTTTTGTGACTGTGTGTTGTTCCGAAAAAGACAAAAATGGTTTTGTAACACCATTTCAGATAGTATGCTCTAGCCTGCCCATCTTCAGGGGACTGAAGACGACATCTGTTCCACTACTTTAGTGGCACGCTCCAGTGATATCACAGTAGACCACCGTACTTCTCCATCCTACCACACGCTCCAGTGACCATCATGGATCCATCACTCCATGCATCCCATCACCATGCTTCAGCGACCACCAACGATCCCTCTTAAGCTCAGCATCCCCTAGCAGTCCAGCAGTCTCCTGAAGACAGACATAGTGTACTGTCCGAGACGTTGTGTTACAAAACCGGTTCTTTTTAGAACCACACACAGTTACAAAAGAGATATGAATGAATGGCCCTACCACAAACCTCATATCTTAATACAGGGTGAGTAAAAAATACCGAAACCCAAATGTCAGGACTATTGTTTTAGTGAAGTTCTGCATGTAGCACTTTCAAAATCTGGGATATGAAAGCCCAATTCATAAGCTTTATTTTAGTACAAGAATCACTCAAATCACTCATGTACTTTTCAAGTTGCGGAATTTTAAACACAACTAGCGTTTTAAAGTTCTGTCCACGGATCACCAAAAAAGTGTGCGCTCTTTCAGCAAAACGAAAACAATTCACACTCATCCCTATGTGATTTGTTTTCGTTTTGCTGAAAGAACACTTACAACGCGCACTGTTGTCAACAGCCACAATAGCAGCTTCGAGCGGCGCGATAATTCGGCGAACTTTGAGAAATAATGGCAGTGTCCTGAAATTTATTTCTTGCGGATCAAGCTAGTCAGCCTAATATAAATAATAATAATTATAATGTTGGATTTTTTTTTTTTCTGGGGATACAAGAATATATTGCCCTCGCTATAACAACATGCACTCGTCTTTGACTCGTGCAATATTGTTATAGCTCGTGCAATATATTTTTGTATCCCCTCAAAGCCAGTCAATATTATATAAGCATGTGTGCTAAATACACATTTTTAAAGATTTCAAAGGAAGTACATCTTTATAACTTGATACCTATAAAAGTCCAACCATGTCAATGTGGTCTTTATTTTCAATATGAATGCCTGTTTTATTTCTTTCAAGCGTAGCTGAATTAAGTTTTGAGTGTAAAAAAAAAATTCAAATTCTTATTTTGTCACAGGTTACACTACCGGAATTCCACAGACAAAACAGTTCAAAGGCTGGCAACGATGACGTCACCAACATGTTTGACTTCCTGCACAGGGTGACCCAGCGGTTCAGCATGGAGACTACCAGAAAACTCATCCCAGACCTCATGACCTTTGACCAATGGGTGGCCCAAAACAGAGAAACTATCCTCAAACTTATCCTCAACAATAGCTCATGAAAGAAAGAACAGCAAGATGTTCTCATGATGTCTTATTGTATGCTTAATATGCATTTCTATTTTTACTGTTTTTGAGATCATGTGATATTTTGAAAACCAAAATTCTTAGAGGCTGATAGGATCATTAGCAAATATTCAAAAACGAAACTGCCAAAGTATTATGAAGTAGCCCACTTGATTATTAGTGAATAATAGGATGAGCCTGGTAGGCTGTCATTCTCAAGAAAAGAGAAATTTTGTATCAATGGTTAGGACCTAACGCTGAGAACCAACAGTTTTCCCAAATACTTTGTCGGTTAAAGGGAATGTACAACATCTGCTTTTGCTTCAATTTTCAGCAATAAATGGATTTGGAGGATTAGTATGTTATAGAAAATATTGTTGAACTGACATGTTTCACTTTTGGGCTTGTAGATGCTGGAAAACCAAGAAAACCTATCATGTTCTTGTAGTCTGGTTCCCTGACCCCAATAAGATAAAACGGAGCACTTAATACACTTTAGGGAATTGTAAGGTCAGAGAATCAGTCTAGCAGGCTTGTACCCCTGCAGAGCTAGGTGTGTAATCAATTGCAAAGACAATTAAAAAAACTAAATATGAACAATTAAGAACAGTTTTTGAAAAAAAGCCAGTTTTTTCCAACGCTGGTCAGCCGACCAGCGTTGGAAAAATGCAGTTTTTCTTGAAAATGTCAGCATACCAGGAGCCACGATTTTAAAGGATGCTTTAGACTGTCATTCCTCACAATCCAGTAAGGTATTTCGTGATAATTTGATCATTTTGTTTTTTGATGTTTTTTTTTATGCAAATGTTGTATTTCCCTTTAAACGGCCGTGCGCCAGCTGTTGACTTCCTGTGAATGCTTGGGTACGCTAGGTATATGTATGCATTACTGTCCCATGACAGAGCTGGCACTCAGGTGCTCCCTGTGACCTATGGGTTCTATGCACGACAGATTCTAGTCCGCGAGCTGCACTTTTGAGGGTTGAAAATGATCAAAGTTTTATCGTGTTTTTCCAGCACCAATGGACACCAAACATTGAACAGCTCAGTGGAATGATGTCTACTCTACATTAATAGCCCTTAAATCAGTCCTTTTCATGAAATTATGACAAATGCAAATGATCCTAGGTACCTTTAAAGTATATCTTTAAAACCATACAATAATGCACTTTGATTTTTTTTCCAAGAGAAACATTGGGAGGAGGATTTTTTAAAGGTCATATAAGTTGGCGTTCGTGCATGGTCATTTTATAACAGGCTTTGAAAGATTATTCAGAATGGCCATTTTATTTTCATAAGAGAATTGTAGAACTAAATTTATAATTGCATTAATCACTGATGTACAATATTGATAGCAGTGTTGTACTAATGTGTTTTTGTGATATTAGCTCCGTCCAATTGGATTTTTAGAGACTGAAGTAACTTTCTGAGTTAATCTCCCTGTGCTATGGTTGAGATTCAACTCCAAAATAGATTTTGCTTTAAAAAAAAAATTTTGTTCTAGCAAAAGAAAAGTTATTCACTTTTGAATGAGACATCGATCAAAACAAATCCAGCCATGTTTAGTAATGACATTTTTAATTTTACAAGTTTTGAATTATTTGCGTCCCAACAATGATTCAGGCGTATCTCTTTGTGCTTTATTGGCCAAAAGCATCCTAAAACAAAAGCATTATTTTTAAAGGGTTGAAAACATCCAAAATAACAAAAGGTGTCATTTTCTGTTTAAACAAAACATACAGGTTGAAAATTTGTTTGGAGATAAAATTGACTCTGTTGAAGAGCACAGAAAGAACAACTTTGAAAACAAATGTACATTATCTTCAATCATTCCAAAAAATAGTAAGTTTTTCAAGCAAATAATCCTTTCTGCCAACTTTACCTCAAAGAGAAAATATTTTTAAAAACATTTCGAACACAGGAATAACCTCTGTGCTTGGAAAGTGCTTTTTATTTCATTGAGGGCCAAACATTTATGAATTGTTTGTGATTTCTTTTTTGATGTGTGCCGTGTTTCTTAATTTGTACTTTTGGTTCACTTTCAATTTTTTTAAAGTCTTATTTTATAAAGCTTATGGCATTGTAATTTAAAAAAAAAAGGAATATTCAAATCTACCATGTATTCATGCTTCCAGTATGCAATTGGTGTGCCAATATTTATAGCAATGTATTTTTGTACAATTTCTTGTTCTGCATTATACTTGTGTAATATTGCAATTAATAAATTGTATTATATTCAGTAAATGTTCCAGCCGTTGTCAATTTTCAACCAATTTTGAATTAATTTCTGGAACATTATTGCCGACTGCTTCCGTTTCTCTTTAATTTTTCTTATTAATTTTTCTTATTAATTAAGGATTAAAAGTGACCTTACGATTAAACATTTACATGCATGGGATTTGTTGGTTTCAACGAACGAACTTAATTCAGGAATTAATTGGTGAAACATAAGTGAAACATTTGTAATTGTATTGATTGGTATTTTTTTGTTTTGTTTTATGACTAATCTGCTCTCCATACCAAAACTTTCGTCCAATGACCTCCAAGCCATTGACCTCTTATCAAGTACTGTTTCATGTTTGACGTGAGTGAAATCATAAAACAGTTACGTTTCACGGAACCTGTTGCGCTATTTATAGATGCGCTTCCGGGTTAGGTTAATTCCTGGTACACGATTTTTCACGTACGTGGTTTTGGCATTATGCATATGGTTTGGGGAAGTCGTTCAGAAAATAATACTTTGTTAGACGTGAATTCTTCACAGCTGAATCATCGGCTGTGCGGTGATAAAAAGACTGCTAGTTTGGGAAATCCCCCAATTTTTACGAGTGGAACTTTGCTGGACCAGCAGTCGATGGTGTGCTGATGTGTAATAAATTGTTGTGAATCAACCACCTGCCACGCGCTTATACAAGTTGATCTACTTTAATAATTTATATCCTGGACGAGCGGATTCGCTGCTGAGATCACAATCTTTCACGGAGCTGTAAGCCAACCGCATGTGTGTGCCAATGCCTTCCTCACATGTGGCTGGTGGAGTGTAACACTAGATGAATGTTCCACAAGACAATCGATTTGAAGTGTAGTGGGGATATTTTTGAAGAAAGAAATGAGTTTACCTCGGGATCACAGGGAACGTCTTCAGGATGAGGAGTATCTTTTCTTTTTACACAATAAGGTATAAATGGAGTGATCACTGTTTAATTAAAGTAATTTGAGCACAGCAGTGACAGTGAAACCTGTAATAACTAGTTCAGAAAGGACGCTAGTTTGATTCACTAGTTTCATTGAGGTAAAATAATACTTGGTAACTTCCAATTTCCATTTTGAAAAACAACTGTTGGCGTCAGGTCATATTTTGTTTAAGAATCTAATTTGGTCTGTCTGCAGTCGGTATGTATTGTTATAATTGTAAGTCGAGAGTACTTCTGAAATCAGAAGGGAGAGAAGCCTTCTGATTTCAGAAGTAAGTCGAGAGTATTTCTAAATTGGCACGCCTATCAATGATGCTGAGCGAGCGAGACGTTGGGAAAAAAACTTTTTCACTGGTCCACAATAATAATTGAAATGTGCATTGTACATGGTCATATTGGGAGAGGGGGATATGTTCCTCTAGTAAATGTAAGAAAGATTCATCCTATAAATGTTTCTGAAAAAAAGGTTTTGTAAGCATTGTCAACCCCAAAAAAACTTCCCAAAATTTCTCGGAATATTGGTTTTTATATTTCGTTTCAAAATTATTTTATTCAGGTATTGGAAGATAACAGAGATTTCCTTTGTCGAAACGGAACGATCAACCCCAAGCATCACTACCCCTACCTGCGCTCCAAGGGCATCCTGAACAGAGAGATCTGCGAGGAGATCAATCACGTCGTCGGGCCCACGGCCCGAGCCAACCGATTCATCGACGAGCTACAAAGGAGCGGGGGGCCCAAGGCACTGACCTGCTTCCTTGAATCCCTGCGGAGAGACGGAACGCAGATTTTCGTTCTGAAACGGCTGAACAAAGATTTGGAGAATCTGAGGCATAACCCCCTCCCATGAGTAAGGCCAAATATATATATTTTTTTAAACGAAGTGGCTATTGTTACGGCAGTCGTTGTTTAGCGCCCTCTACGATACTTTTTTGATACGCACGCAGGTATATAATTATTTGTTTCCAAACGATTTAGCAAGCAGTGCGACAGCTCAGTCGATAGTGGGTAGGATTTTGCACCGCGAGGTTGCGGGTTCGAATCTCAGTTTTGCACTCGAATTTTTTTCCTTTTCTAACCTGAGGCTTTGGAGGATTTTTTTAAAATAAGGGAAATAAAGTCCGAATTTCATAACGTTCAAATTCACTTTTTTCCTTCTAATTTTATATTTTCTTGTCATGTTTTTATAAAAGTTGCAGTCTACCGTAACGATAGAAAATGGGAAATGCGTTACGGCTGCCGTAACAATAGCCACTGCGTTTTTTAAATGGTTCTCATTTGAACTTTTTGAGAAAAAAAAGGATGCAGGTACTTTTTTGCCAACACTTTTTTAAGGCTAGCTTTTTAAAGGGAATATACAACATTTGCAAACATCGAAAAATAAAACTACCAAGTTTTTACGAAATACCTTACTAGGATGTTGGTAAATGACAGTCTAAAGCATCCTGTAAAATTATGGCACCTGGTGTGAAGTCATTTTCAAGAATATGGTATTTTTGTATACATTTCCAACGGTGGTCGGCCCGTTGGAAAAACCTAACTATTTTTCAACTACTGCTCCAACTTTACCATTACTTCAGTCCAAACTTTGTTTGCTATTGGTTACATGTTCATGAATGGGTGCAGGCCAGCTAGACTGGTTACCTTACCTTACAATTTTCTGACATCTATGAATTGATCCATTTTATCTTTAGTGGAGTCAAGGAACCAGACTACTTGAACATTTTTGGTTTTCTTGGTTTTTCCAGCATTTTCGAACACAACACATCAAACATGTGAGTGTAACAATATTTGATCTGTTATACTAACCCCTCAAATAGTTCATTTCTGAAAATTACAGCAAAAGCCAATGATGTACATTCCCTTTAACCTCGAAATTGCTACCCATTCACGTTGGAAAGTAGTCTTAGTTCACGGATGTGTAAACGAATGCAAACAAACTGTGGCCCTTACTAAATTTGGAAAATTGGGGACAGTATTGGAAAAAGGTCAGTTTTTTTCCCTAACGATATTCGTTGGACGACATCCATTGGAAATTTACAGAAATTCCACTTTTTCTTTAAAATGACAGCACATCAGGTGCCATGATTTCACAGGATGTTTGAGACTTTGTTCACGTACAGTCAAGCAAGGTATTTCATAATAATTTGGTAGTTTTGTTTTTTGATGTTAGCAAATGTTGTATATTAACCTTAAAGGTCACAGCGTAAAAGAAACCAGATTTTGATATTTTCTTTTTCCTTTTTGAATAAATCAGGTAGACTCAAATTCAAATAGAAAAGTGTTTGTTGTCACGTTTGACAATATAGATCATGCTTTGTTGTTTTTTCCCTAATAAAAACGACAAAAAAAACCACTCCCACAGTGAATTCAGTGTGCACCACTCCAACCTTGACCCCAGGGTGTCGAGCAGTACGCGCCCATCACTACCTGCTCTCTCACCCTGGTATTGGATCATTTGCATGTGCAAGATTTTTGAACACGTATGCAAATGAGGAATAGTCTGGTGCCTGCATGTGCGTTACATCATCGTTCGTTCTTGTATGCGGTGTCTGGGGTAAAAACAGAGTCAATTCTTCGCCGTGCGAGCACAGCGTGAGTTACGAAAACACGATTTATTTAATTAAACTGTTACGATCTTATCGAGACAACATGCAGTATCACATTTCATATGCACAAATTGGAAAGGAAATGAGTATTTTCGAGAAGGCGTGGACGAATGATCGCGAAAACACGTACTGCACGTTGTGAATAACAACACCAAGTACACGATAAAAATCCACTACTAGCCAATTGCGGTGTCGAATCAGGATACAGGAAAAAAGTTTCCTATCCAGGGTTTACTATTGGAAACTAGGTTGGAAATAAAGTAAGCACTGGGGACGAGGTTGGCACCACTCTCATTCTAATTCACCTTATTTCTTTCTTCTCCAAACAGCCCCAATAGAAAGTAACAGTGTGTTTCATCCTCAACAGTCCAGAGAGTTTGAGGAATCTTCCATTGCTTCAGAGGGGGATGTCTCCACCAGCCCCCTGGAAGAGGAACCCCAGGCTAATACCTCCACGCACCCGCTACGTCCGGGGGACCCCGGCGCACCCCCACTACCAAGTTTTGAGAGCCTGGCAAAGTGCACACACAATCAAGGTAAGAAGAACAGCACAAGTAATCCCTCCCCTTCCCTGGATTTTTTTTCTGCAAAATACAAAGGTGTTTTTTTCTGCCTAGCCCTGACCAAGGAATTGGATAGTCATCAGTTCCCTTTTTTATTCCCCTGGCTTATTTCAAGCCAGATACTAGACGGGGAGATTGCGATCGCGTATTCCTTCTGCGTGCCGGTGTCAATGTATGGATGTGTGTGTGATCCATATCCCTGTAAAGTTCAGTCATCAATCTCAACCAAACTTGAAAGGTGGTCTGTGGAGAGAAGGCTGACATCAAAAAAATCCTTTCCAATATGGATATTTACGAGGTCTCTGGAGAGACACTATGTTAGTCTGGTGTCTCACCGAAACTCTCCTTTCAACCCAAACTCCCCATTCAACTGAGAACTGGTACCTGCCGGGTGGACAATCAAGGCCGTCACTGAAAATTGTCCTTACTAACTGCCTGTACTTGTGCATGTTAACAAACTGACGAACATTCCATTTACTTTTCATCTTAACTCACTAATCAAACTTAAAGATAGAGTAGACCATTTGCAGCTTTCCAAAAAGTAACCAACCAAATTATTGCGAAAAATATTGCTTGGTTTAAAGATTGTAATGATACTAAACTCCCTGTGAAATGATTCCTTCAGGCATGCTGTCATTTTGAAGAAAACAATAAAAGGTCATTTCCAAAGATGTGTCAAGTGACACATTTTAGGAAATTCCAATTTGTGGTTGGGCGAATCCGTGAATGGGTGCAAGTGTTGACACGACGCACACGCATACATGCGGTTACTGTTATTTGTCGGTTCAGTGTGTGACAACACGTAAAGTTACAATTGGAGCTGAATGAGAATCATGTCCCGAATGCTGATGTTGGGATTGTGTCACGAGAGGGCGCAATTTAAAATTTGACCGGGCAACTTTTGAATTAAAATCAAGATCCAGAATATTGTGTTTTCTCAAATTGTACGGCATTCACAGAGCCAACACTTCATCAGATTAGTTGTTAAATACCCGCCATTAGATTTTGAGCACTTTCGTTGCTTCAAATGAAAAAAAATGAAGAAAAAAAAAATGACACATGGTCCATTCTACCTTTTATGACGTAGTTATCCTTTCCCCTTGTAATTTTACAGTTCCACCAAGCGAAGAAACTAAACCTACAGCTCCTGAATTGACAGAGCACTGACAAGGCAACTGCCAGCTCACATAGGCCTTTGTACATCTGTGTAAATTTCTGCAGGTCTTCCTGATTTTTGTGACGTCTAAACGAAGTTTTGGAAGACACCTACGTATGACCGAATGACCGTATACCCGTATGTTAAAGTTTTGGGGAAAAAATGCTTTCATGGATTTTAATGAAACTTGGATGCAGTGCTCCTTGGGTAAGAAGACACAATTCTTCATGGGATTATACTGAGGTCAAAGGTCATGAAGGGGTCATTAGAGGTCATCATTCAAATATGCTTCAAATGTTTCTTTGTCTACAGAATTTGATGGATCTTAATGCAACTTGGATGGAGTGATCCTTGCGTGGGGGTTCATCACAAGTTTTCCAAAATTGGAGGTCAAAGGCCATCTAGGGGTCATTTGAGGTCGTTTAATAATGCACAAAGGCAACGCATGCGGTCCGCGGACCACTTGTCTAAAAACTTTTTATATGAAATCCTTCATTATTTTGCCAAGTTATACGCATGTGTATTACTTTAATTAATGCAGTTTTGTACATACAGCTTATGTAGGCTGGAGAGGACTTCATAGTTTCGCAACATTTTTAATTTTGTATCAGTTGTTAAGTTTCCTTTAAGAAAAACCATTGATAGGTTTCTGTTAGGCTTATTTATTGTAAATAGCTGTTCCCAATAATACACATTTTTTTTTTAAATATCATTTTGTGTTGGATGTTTCTTCAAATTTATGAAAATGTTTTCAAAGTAGTGGACGCAATTTGCAAATATTCAATAATCCAAAGTAAATAATAGGCTCAAGCATCCTGTGAAATCGTTGTGCCAAGTATGCTATCATTTCAAGACAAGAGCAATTACCATCGTTTCCTTATTTTTATCAAATACTTCTCACAACTGTCCGAATTTGGTTTTAGTTTGCAATTGTGGGCTTATCAATGTAAGGCCATAAAAAAAAAAAGTCAGTCTCTGGTCAGCGCGCGCGTAGATTTTAATCATGCGCGTCAATCTTTTTTTTTTCCCAAAATGTTCCGCGGTAGCTCCAACAGCGCCCTCTATTGCCGCACCTCAATTTTTTTTTACCAAAGAGCACCAAGGAATGGGAAATTGCACCGAGGCAAATGATCGAAAGCAGCAAGGCAAATTATGGAGGACACCAATGTACATGAGGACACCAAAAAAGCAAAATAGTACCCCACCTTGTCTGTACAATCCAAGCTTGAAGAAAAAAGCAAAAAAAAGCAAAAAAAACCCAAAAAACACCGCGTCGCCGCGTCAATTCTGGAACTTTGGTCTGACCGGAGACCAAATACTTTTTTTTTGGCCTTATGTCAATTATTTTCCCAAGTGACAAAGTGGGATCATACCACAAGGGGTGCAAGTCAAAACGCATTAATAAAGATGACCTTTTACAATTTTCTCAAAAAGTATATCTACTGTTCTGTTATAACCTGCATCAGAGTTATTTTATTGTGTTCCTTGAAAGTTTCATCTTATAAATATTTGAAATGCTTGAAACGTTGTAGAAACTGCACCGGTGCAGTGCAGTTTGTCTTAAGGCCAAAAAAAAAAGTCTCCGGTTTCTGGTATGGAGCTTGCCCAAAAAGTGGTGCGGCAACGCGGCCTTTTTTGTTTTTACCTAATTTTTTTTGCCTCAAATGTCGGCTGATGACTGCAAATGGTGCCCGACTAAACTTAGTGCAAATATGTGGGAGTCCAGAGAGGCCACATAAAGCTTATTCTCGATCATAACCCCATCCAAAAACACGTTAAAATTGTGCAGCAGCAGGACTCCAGTCAAACCAGTGAGTTTGGCGGTTTTGAGACATCATCTTTCATTGAAAAATAAACTTTTTCATATTGCCGACGCGCATGGCTGCGGCGACGCGGCGCATACCAGAAACCGGAGACTTTTTTTTTTTGGCCTAACTGAATGGATTTAATAATTTAAAGACCGGACAATCTGTTTCTTTTATTGTGGTTGTGATTAACCATTATTACAGTGGATATCCACTTCTGCTTTCTAGTGATATGATGCTGTTTTGTTTTACAAGATAAAAACGATCATGTAATAGTTTCCACTTTCACTTCTATGTATACTTTAAACCCTACATTCCATAAACACACAATTACTCAAGTCTGAAAAAAATATGTGTGTTTACAGTAATGACCTAAAAATTGTCTAGGTAGCTGGGTAGGGAAATAATTTCATTTTGTAACTTTTTTTATATTTGTCGGTTGGTCTTTTATACTTGCTTTGTTTACTTTAAAGTTGTTTCAATTAACCTGCTTTATTGTTAAATTTACAAATAACACACACACAAAACTTGCATCTAGTGAAGACTTTTTTGTTTTCAAAATATACTTTATTTTAAATTATTGGTCAAATTTGGCATTGAGATCGGCAATTCGGCCGATAAAAAATCCAGGTAGGTCAGGTTACCGTAAACACCAAAAAAATTCAGCCTAAATTTATTGTTATTTTTAATAAAGATTAGCTTGACGACTACAAGCCACAGAATTTGACTTTTTTTCATGTGGAGATTGATTCCCCCGTTTTATTAGAAGCAAACAACGATTTTCAAGTATAAAGTAAATACAAGCAACCATCATTACTTCGTTGGTAATAATCTTATGAATTTATTAGAAACAAGTTGTTCATCTGAATGAAAGCATTAGAAATCGTTTCGTATTTTATTCTTCCTAGTTTATTGCATACAGATGTGTGCATGTGTACAAAAAAAAAAAACTATTTTAATACAAAATTTTCAGATCAGCATCCCACCTGATTCAGTTAATTCTGTGTGACATGCTGAGGCTAAATGAGGAATGTCCCCCAAAACTTTGTTTTGAGTTATAGGCATCTGAAGTTGCCTTTGTGTGGAAAATCATGTCAAAATCGATTTTGGATTTTTCACATTTTTGAGTAGCCAAGGTATTTAAGATTCACACTGTGTATTTTTGTGGTAAAAAAAATAACCTTCAAAAGTGAAAATGACAATATGTCATTCAAATGTGTTAGTTTTCAGAAATTGTCAGTAATTTTCTTCTGAACAGCAAAAATTACCCGAGTACACCATGAAATTTTAAGAGAATCGATTATTGTTTATACCTTGGTGTGTTACCAATCGAAAGCGTATTGCCTGCTCTGTTTATTTCTAGCAGTGACATCAGTCTGTACTGGACTAGCAGCTTCATGTAGATCGCCTGTGGAAAATGGTGCACAAAATGAGATTGTGTCTAGTTTACGTCATTACGTAATGAAAGTAACACCATCTGATTGGACGATTAGGCAATACAGCATGCGCTGTAAGTGTTGTTTCTCAGACACATGACATTGCAGCACCGATCCAATCTGTGAGCGTGTGACAACAAAATTGTCCCACACGCGTTCAAGAAAACGACGAAAAATGCCCGTGATTACATTTATTCCTACATGTATAAGTAGAGTGGTTTGAATATCTGTCAAATTACATATTTTTTTGTGAAAAGCCACTATACAGGCATGATTTGAGAGCTTCCATGAGGAACATTAGACCTAATTAAAATCTTTAAAAGATGTAAGATCGCCTAGTCAGCTACTATACCGAAATACGCATGAAATTCATACATTTCTTTTACTTCAATGACAGTGTTCCAATATTCGATCAAATTTGATCAAATAATCGCACACTACATGTAACTTATTCGAAAACGCACAACACCAATTGAATATCTGTAAGATTTGTACAGTTATTTGAATAAAAGCTTCATTAATTAATGCAAGAATCTGGTTTGTTCTTGGGTTTACTTGTTGGTTTTACCCGGGATAGGGGATAGTATACAAATAATGAATGTTTATGAGTGCAATGGTAAGAATAATTATTAGTCTGGTTTCCAGCCCAAAAGATTCCGACTATTCCTGATGAATCTTAGGTCCGGTAGCCTCCGGTAATACAATGTATTACAATTGACGTCACGTGACTAAAACGGGAGGAATTCCTCCTTTTTCCGAAAATTTCTGAAGTTTGCCGAAGTCGTTTCGTCGACAATCGGATAGCGCCCGAGTATTTCCGAGTATATAATATAGGTTTAATTAACTGCTAATTGCTTATTAATTTTATTTTTAATGAGTTGATAATTAATATTCATTGTTTTCACTTAGAAAACTTGAAATTCAACGACGATTTTGTGCATCAAATATACTCGGATCGTACGGGCGAACTTTTTGCTGTGTCGTGTACAATTTTGAATTTGACGACCCTTACCGAGATTTTCCAAAACTCGGTCTTCATTCGGCTCCGCCTGCTAACAGTGCTATTTGGTTCCGTAATTTTGAAGATTCCAGATCAACATTACTCAATGTTATCTTACAAAAACATCAAACTGTATTATCATAATTGTATGATATTACGAAGCAATTGATTTATTTAAAGATTTGATCAGAACATTAAAAGCTACAAGTGATAAAGCGAAATCGGAAACGAAGCCGCACTTTGAAAAAGGGCCATTAATGTCGTCATGTTTATTTTTAGCCACGGAGGCTGCCTGACCTACAATTTAAGACGCGAGCGTCGGGAATAATTGTCGGGTCTGGGAACCAGACTAAATAATTATATGAGGTGACAGATGTTCCAATAAATGTACGAGGTGACAGTTCGAATGTTCTATTCCATCGGGCCTATTGGAACATTCCATCTGTCAACTCATGCAGTTATTCTTTCCATTGCATAAATGTGAAACATTCATTATTTGTTTTAAAGGGAATGTACAACATTTGCTTTTGCTGCAATTTTCCGACATAAATGGATTGGAAGGATTGGTATGTTATAGAAAATATTGTTAAACTGACTTGTTTCACGTTTTGTGCTTGTAGATGCTGGAAAAACCAAGAAAATCAATCATGTTCTTGTAGTCTTGTTCCCTGACCCCACTTTAGATGAAACGGAGCAATTTTAGACTGGGGGAAATTGTAAGGTCAGAGAATCAGTTTAGCAGGCGTGTACTCCTTCACAGGTGTGTAATCAATTGCAAAGAAAATGCGAAATAACTAAATATGAAAATTTAGAAGCAGATTTTGAAAACGAGTTTTCTCCAATGCTTTAGACTATCATTCCCTAACAATCCAGTAGGTATTTTGTGATAATTTGGTCATTTCGTTTTTGATGTTTGTAAACGTTGTATCTTCCCTTTAAACAACACTTGAATTTAAATCCTCGTCATCTGACTGGTCAGAGCCACCCATCGTGTGACCGTGCAATGAAACTTCTATTTACCGTGGAATAGAACTTGTGTTTTTGCTGTGCAAACCCGGGCCTTGGGTTAGGGCAAATTTTTCAATGACATGTGATCAACGACCCACCAATCACATGATGGGGATTTATTTAGGCTTTGTATTAATAGATTTCATTCATTTGAATTACTGATACTGGTACTTGCAGGCGAAGACACAAGTTGTATGCACAATATGTTAACAGCCAAAACAGTCATTGTTGACAGTTAATACATGTGCATGTATTGTAGGTGTCTAACTTAGATCTTCAGTTCCCCAAAAAAAGCGAAAACAAAATCAAGCAAATGATACCCATCCCTTCAACAGACAAACCTGTGTTTTTTTTTAATTTGCAAAAAAATTTGAGATCCATTTCAACAATTAAGTTCGAGGCCAGAATGCAAATTTCCATACAGCATTCCTCGGCCTTATGTACACGTGAATAAAACCAAGCAATTTAATTTTCATGCCCAAGATCAGATAGGCATGCGCACAGATCTAACATTGCGAAGAGAAAGTATAGTAAAAGAGACTTTGTTTCAAAATAACGGTGTGTGGTGCAGTTATGACAACTGCTATTTCTGAGTCCGCTGAATACAAAACCAGTTCTTTTTTCTTCTTCTTCTTTTTTTTTTTTTTGACACGTGACCTCGGCAATAAAAACATTGTAATAGTTATAAAGTGTCAATCAGATATCCATTTGTTGTAAACAAAATGCAGAGCTGCATGACCAATCCAGTCATTCCATGTCATCTCCATACTCGTTCTTCACACCCCTGGGACGAGAGGTTGAAGAAAACGGAAGCTCAGCGCTCTTCTTGGGCAGCTTGTCATCATACGGAGGCGGCTGCCCGGACTGTCGGGGCTGGTAGTGCCCAGGCTGGCTGAAATGGCTGGAGTGCTTCTGTCTGTTCTCCCTCCGTAAATCCTCGTAGGTCTTGGTCATCTCGGGCCGCTTGGCCTCCAGCTCCGAGGCCACTTCGTTGCTCAGCTCGAAGTCAAACTGACTGTCCATCGTCTTGACGTTGCTGGTGTCAATGTCCAGGTTGGCGCGGTAGTCGTCCGACTGGCCGAATCCACTGTAGGAATCGCTGTTCCTGGTGACGATGGGGTCGCGTGGATCCGAATCGGTGCCAGGAGGTTGGAATCCCGGCAGACCAAAGCTTCCGCCTTGGCCTTTGGGAAGGCTGCCGCCTTTCCTCAGCATTTCACTGATGGGGGAGTTCTCTAGTTTCAGGAATTTCTGCTTGCATGAGCTGACGTAGGAGATCTTTCCGGCCATGTAGCCAAAGAGGCATGCAAAACCAATCTGTAGTGGGGAAAAAAATTGATGCAACATTTCAGGCAAGCAATAAAATTTAAAATGAAATGTGACTTCTAAATCTAAGTGTTTTGACACAGACTATAGGAATGTGATAGAGAAAGTTGCTTATTAAGTAAAACACTGTGAACATTTTTTTTATAAAACGTGATTTATTACAGAAAGTGAAAACACGATTTGAAAATTCAATAGTCATTTCAAAATAAAATATGATGTGAGACTGAGAACACCGCCACCCACTACCTTAAAATTTAAATATAAAATAAATATTATAATAGCATTGCCAGCACAAATTATTAGGGCTAAATAATTCAAGACTGACTTTATAGCTGAGCATGGTGAGTGTGGACATCCTGGCATATTTGTACATTTCACTCCCCCCCCCCCCCTCCCATGATGGAAAGAATGTTGCAACTTGCATCCTGAAGCAATTTTTTTCGTCATCATCATTGTCAATGCAATGGAGGTCAGTCATTGCAGAAATATTGAACAGACATGATACTGGGACTGAGAAACCTTTCCAATTTTGTCACAAATAAATTTTAGGAATTTTGAAATAGGCCTTGACGCGTTGACTCTCCATAGACTTTGTACACGGCCCGTACCTTTGGAATTGAGCCAAGTCTCGAGGATGCTGTGAGCTTGCCACGGGTGATAAGCGTCTGGGTCAGCAGACCTGCACCGACGGCCAGCGGCATCGCACGGTACCAGAAACTCTCCGACTGGCACTCTCGCAAGGTACGCTTTTCCTCCTCTGTCATTTCATAGTTTCTCTGGAAATTATGATCACCGTGCCTGCCAGGGCCACGGGGCCCCGAGTAGGGTGGATAATTTCTACTGGGAGGTACGTTCTCGGGATGAGGTTCGCCTTTTTGCGACATGATTTTTTAGTTCCGATCCACCTGAGTTGGACGTATTTTGGGTGTATCGTATTTTGTACACGAAAAATAAAAAGCCAGGTAGGATTATTTTACGTACTTTATAACGTACGTTGAAGTCAGGGATTCAGATGTTAAACTTAGTTGACCTTTGACCAGATCGGATTATTTTTGTATTGGAGATAAATTATACAATAATTTAATTTTTTAACCAAACTAGAGATCATGATAAATACAATATTAATCAAAAAGTATTTAATACATGATAACATTTAATTGTTATCCTTAAAATTGCTATAATGTTTTAGTATTTAAGATAGTCATTTACCATTAAGACACTGCGCATGCTCTGTGTATATGTTGCCAAGGAACTGTGAGTCGGGAAGTGCACCAAAAAGGCTTCATTTATTGTCATTTTTCTCAAATTTGACGCTTCAAAACACTTCGAAATCATGGCATTATATATATAAGGAGTTGTGAAATATGTTGTATTTCGGTAGTTTGTTTTTAGAGGGTAAGATGTCAACTACGCACAAGTAAATCACAAATGAAGGATGTCATACTGTGATTGAGTGTGTCAGTGGGATTGAGTTGAGTACTTAGCAAGTCACGGCAGATTAAAGCAGCACTCCAGTTTATCAATGGCAGAGACGCAGGCAAGGCCCCTGCGGGTTGTTCCGTCTGGCAAGATTTATCGACAAATATTTGATGCTGAGGTAGGCCTTAAATATTAAGTTTGTAATTTTAGGCAAAAATTGAAGAAAAAAAAAGGCAGTGGATATTATTTGCATTATTTGGCTGGTGCCACTTTAGGCTAGGCCTAGACCCGTGAACGTGGCTTGTAAACTACGCCACGCTGTTGTCTATTTTCGAACCTGGCGAACGTGTCCCTCTGACTCCCTCCGTTACACACACTGGACGTTATTTTGCCCATGTAATAAGTACTCACATATGAAGCTGTCTTGAATTCTATTTGTACGTCAAAACTTGCATTTGACGAAAATTGAGGAAAATTCTGGCTCCGGTTCATGAAGTCCGTCCGCTACTGCTAGCTGCCATTTTCTCCCAACTGACGCATGCGCATTGCGTTTTATTTTCGTATGATTCGACGGCTGTTTACTGTCGCAGCTAAAACAGACATCGTTTTAGACAAGTTTCAAGTCCTTTCCTCTCTCACCGCACCGCACGCGGTCGCACGTGCGCCCGCGTGTGTGTGCACACACGTACTGTACACGAGATAAGCCGAGCAGCCAATCGTCTGCGGGTTGTTTTTTTTCAGGGTTGCGACATGAAACAGCCGTCAATCTGTCCAATCTGATGGGCAAATTTCGTCGAAATTACACAGCCGAAACAATCGGACGGGCAAATTTAGATTTCTAGGTGAGTACTCAACACCCATACGGAATTATGTATGTCGGATCGATTTCGCCAGGTTCGAAATGAAACAAGAACGTGGCGTTGTATACAACGCCACGTTCACGGGTCTAGGCTAGGCCTAACGAAGGCTTTCTCTGACTAGTGACTGGCTCATAAATATCCTTGACCCTCCATTATCTGCGCAGGTAACGCTTGCATATGTGCGCGCGCGTTGTCACACACAAATTAGAGGTAAATGCGTAGAAAAAGGACCGCGTAGCTTTAGGGGGTCTGACAATAAATCATACTGTGCCTGATTTCTTAAAGGGACACTAGGTCCTGGAACAGCCCAATTGGGCTACAAAACGCGCTTTGAACGAGATGATGTTAATCGGAAAAAACTTTTAAAAGTAGGATATAAACATCCAGACAACTATCCAGTATCCTTTCAAAACTGGGCGTTTTTGTGTTAGGCCCTACTTATTCCTGTATTATGCGTGCGAGAACGAATTTCGGGGTCCACTTTTGCGACCCCATAAATTTGAGCTGTTTGGATGCTAGTTGTGATTTCATTCGTAGGCGTAAAGTGTTCGCCTTTTGCGGACGTTGAAGAAACCACAATTTTTTGCATTGGTGATTGGTCACCGCGCGCTGTTCCCGAGACACACAATGTGTATAGCGTACATGAGAACGACACGAAAAACGTATTCATACTCCGTCATGTCCGATGTAAACAAGCGGGTTTTTTTCGTCTTTTCTCGGGAATGGTAAGACATTAGGTTGGTTTCCTTTCAACCAGATGTTTGAAATAGGCTAAATAAACAATCCAAAACATAACATTTTTGGGGATTTCAGGACCTAGTGCCCCTTTAAGTTTTAGTTAACACCTTACGGCTTTTCATGTCTACTGACAATTATGCCCTATAGTATAAAGTATGATTTTGAGCCAACCAGAAAAGTCTAAGAAAATAACATTTTAGAACTTGGCGTTAGGCCTGTAGTATTGTCAGACCCTTTAAAACTGCGCGAACCTGTTATACTACGCGCACACCTTTAATTTGCGTTTGGCAACGTGCGTGCATTGCAGAGTGTTATCTGTGCAGATCAGGGAGGGTTGGTCGAGGATACTTGAAACTCGGAGAAAACCGGGACTGGCTGAATATGACCCCTGAATATCCACTGCCTTTTAATTTCATAAATTACTTGGTGCAAAGACATGCCCTATAAATTTTGTTTCTGAAATTTCATAAAATTTCATAAATATCAGACTTTGTTCCCAAGGGCTTAGGGTAGTTTATATTATTTAAATTTCAATAATAGTGAAAGTACATATTTCAGTTGTTAACGTAAATTTCAAGTGATAGTTCAAAGTGTCTCCTCATGCCAGCATCAGTTTTGGCAGAAAAATCCTTTTGGAATTTTAAACAACCGTTGGTCAGCTGTTTACAATTTCTACTTAAAGGGAAAATACAACATTTGCAAACATCAAAAAATAAAACTACCAAATCATTTTGAAATACCTTGCTGGACTGTTAGTGAATGACAGTGTAAAGCATCCTGTAAAATCATGGCACCTGGTATACTGTCATTTTCAAGAAAAGTGGTATTTTTGTATCAATTTCCAACGCTGGTCGGCCAACCAGCGTTGGAAAAAACTGGCTTTTTTTCAAATACTGGCCCCAATTGACCATCGCACTTGTTTGCAATCGATTACACACCTATGAACGGGTACAAGCCAGCTAGACTGGTTCCCTGACCTTACAATTCCCCAATGTATGTAAACTGCTCTGTTTCTTCTTATATGGAGTCAGGGAACCAGACTACAGGAAAATAATTGTTTTTCTTGGTTTTTATAGCATTTTCGAACCCAAAACCTCCAAAAAGTCAGTGTAACTATATTTGCTACATATTTCCAACCCCCCAATTCCATCCATTTCTGAAAATTACAGCAAAAGCAAATGATGTATATTCCCTTTAACATTTGTTGTAAACAGCTATATTAGCTGCATTGGATTTCAAAACAATAGCAAGTCTTTTGCTGTTTTGCTTTTAGGTCCAACTGGTAAATACCCTGGAGAAGACCAAGCAGAATGTCAAACCGGTTGAATTAAAGACGGCCTTGATACCGCTGGTCCACGAAGGTCGGACTTCGATGGGAGAAAGCCTACTGACCAACCGACAGATTGAATGGATCGAGAGCATGCCCAATGACTACAAAACCGAAAATCCAGTTTTGTACAAGTAAGTCGTCTCGAAGCAGGGAAGATGCAGTACCTCCCCTGTTGATGGTTTGGGACTCTCAATACTGTGTGCGAGAGTCCCAAAACTTAAAGCTATAGTCCATCATTTGTAATTAGTGCATTTTGTTCGTTTGAAGCAACAAAAGTGTTCAAAATCTAATGAAGGATACTGAACAACTTACTTGATGAAGTTTCAGCTCAGCTTCAGCTTCATATTCCGAGAAAAACAGCATTCTAGGATCTCAATTGAAAATCAAAAGTTGCTAAATCATGTTTCGAATTGTTTTGAATTGCAGCTTTACGCGATGTCGCGCACTGATCCGACGAATTATAGCAATCGCGCGCGCCTGTGCATCGTTCCAATGCTTGTGCGCGCTGCGCCGAATAACAAAATGAACAACTAATTTAAATTTTCCTACGGTGCTTCTTAAGAAACACCATTGGAAATGCCTTCTTTCGTTGATTTCTTCAAAATGAGAGCTTGCCAGAAAGGATAATTTCACAGGGAGTTTAGTCCCCTTACTATCTTTCAACCAGTATGTTTTTCAACAATAATTACGCCAGTTACTTTTTTGGATAGCTGCAAATGATGGACTCGGGCTTTAAGGTATTGAAAACATGCAATACAAGAAAATAGACTGGCACCCGAAACAACCAGTCCAACACCGCTCCAGTACTGCATCAATCAACTGTGCCGAAAGAAACATTTGGCACGTCTGGTACTACTAGTCTCTATTTCTACACATTTCTCCATATTCAGCCACCAGACTAATGACAAAGAACAAAGAGGTCAAATCTTCTCAAACAGTTGGACTGTGGTTGGACATGTACCAGTCTAGTCTTTAGCCTCATTTTGAAATCACTTGATTTCCCTCTCATGTGCAAAATTTTGAAGAAAAGTCTCCTCTATAAATTGAATTGAGTCTGCAAACATGGTTGGTGGTGACAATTTTGGCTGGCTAAAGAGTTGGCCTGATTTTGCTTTGCATGTTTTTCAGCACTCAAGTTTCTAGTCTGCCGTCATCATTACTTTGCCAAATTTTTAATTTGTAAGCACCATGTTTCATTATTTCTTTTATATCTGTCATCATGAAGTGACTTCCTTCATTTCCTTTTATCAGGAAAGCAAAGGAGGAGCAAATTGCAGCAGCTACAGAGCCTGTGTCGGTGGTAGCAGCCAGAGAAGTCAGGGGCCTGGCAGACTACGTGGGTAAGTAAGAGGGGCAGATATATAGGAAAGGGCAGAAATCCATTTTGTCTTTCCTGATATTGCTATTGGAATAATTTATTTGATTGTATTTGATTTGATTGAATATTCAAATATTTGAACGTTAACATTGAGATAAAAAACTTTTTCATGAATGTTATGTGTGTATTGATATATATATATATATTGTAAAATAAAATTAGGTTTTGCCCTTCACCGACGTTTAAACACTGTATACTCAGTGTGTTACCTCCCGAGTGAAAGCTGGAAAAAGAGGTAAAAGAGGAAAAAGAGGTTACTCGGGAGGTAACACACTGAGTATACAGTGTTTAAACGTCGGTGAAGGGCAAAACCTAATTTGATTTATATCACCCGACGCAAAATTCCATCTTATAATATTTTAAAATAGCTAACTACCTGATATAGGAGTGGCTGTCCACAAACAAATGCAGCATTGGACAAACAAAACAACTCAACTTAAGCATGCAAGGGTGATATTTTGATTTATAACACCTCACCCACAGATTCTTTGTCTTTATTGGCCGAGAGCGAGTCACATGATACTTTCTATTTTTGCTATCTTTCTGTGCACGGCCAAAAGTACTATACCCGTAGCAACCAAAGTACTATACCATTAGCAACCAAAGTACTATTTCCACTGCGCGGTATTTGTGTGCAAATGCATGCTGGTGTGCGCGTTGCACGCAGCACGTTTTGTTCCAAAGAGAGCGCGCCGGAGAGTTGGGTTCAAACATTTCGCAAAGGGGTAGTTTGGAAGAGAGAAATACATGTTCCTCCAGTTTCGTATTGAAATTGAAGTATATTTCAACTGTGTTCAGATTTAATTAATTTAAATATTATAACCAAGCAGAATCTGTGGGTGAAGTGTTATAGAACAAATATTGAATGCTTTATCTCGTGGTGAAGTAAAACTAGCCTCCCTCGGTGATCCATGGAGCATTCTATTTTCCCTCGGCTTCGCCTCGGGAAAATAGAATGTCCATGGATCACCGAGGGAGGCTAGTTTTACTACACCACTCGAAGCATTCAATATTTGTATAATGTATATTTCATGTCAATCTAGTCAGTAAGCAGTTAGCAGCTTATTTTTGGGGTGTTTATGATTTTTTTACAGAGGCGGAGAAGACTGGTTCTGATATTATTGAGAGGATAGCTGAGAGCCGACGTCTGAGGCACGAGGCGGCCGTAGAGGATCTTCACCAAGATATGACAGTCATTGCTAATGTAAGAAACAGATTTAATCAGCATTTATTTAAAATTTCACAATGTTTTACAAACATGGTAACCCTTCTCGACAAAATTTTGAGTCAGTGAAGTGGAATTAGTTGATGGTGCTTCCTCATTTTCTTGTGGATTTGTGCAGGATCTTGAACCCAAGATAGCTGATGCTGGAAGCGAACTCATTAACAAATTGCAGGAAAATGATAAAGGTGGGTGACAGAGTTGTAACTTTTTATTATTTCTGCTGTCTTTTTGATAACTGTTTGTCTGTTGCCTTGCATATCATACTACACAAGGTGACCCTAAAAAATGCAATCCTAAAACATTTGCCGTTAAAAAAAAAGGGAATAGTAGATTTTTTTATGATTTGTGTATCAAAGTAAAGCTGAGAGCTTTTTCTCTTATTACTGAAACTGTCATAAAAATCGCACTTTGGGTTGCTGAGAAAATGCTGATTATGTAAAAGTAGTCATTTTTCATCCTCTACACACAAAAATTACCACAAGGGGTTTTCACTGTACCTATGTCCTAATCCTTACAAACAACACGGCACATAATATGACAAGAGTACAAATGAATTTGATGGAAATGCCTTTTATTTTCCACCTGAACAGGTGTCTCATCCTTTTTAGTCCAATTTTACATCTTTTCAGCATCATAAATATGTCAAAGTATTAAAGACATTGCACAAATGAAGGATAATTGCACAGTAGGCTTACAGTAAGATGTTTCACTGTTTGTAGTATTTGTGTACAGGATGAAAAATGAATACTTTTACATTATTGGCATTTTCCCAGCAACCAAAAGTGCTATTTTCGTGATTTTTTTAGTATTTGAAAGAAAAAGCTCTCGGCCTGAATCTGATACCATGAGTGTTCTTTCAGCAAAACGAAAATAATTCACATAGGGATGTGTGTGAGTTGTTCTTGTTTTGCTGAAAAAATGCACACCTTTCTGGTGATCCGTGGACAGAACTTTAAAACGGTGGTTGTGCTTAAAATTCTGTAACTTGAAAACTACATGAGTGATTTGAATGATTCTTGTACAAGAAAGCTTATGAATTGGGCTTTCATGTCCTACATTTTGAAAGTGCTCCATGTAGAACTTCACTAAATCAGTAGTCCTGACATTTGGGTTTAATTTTTTTTTTTTACTCACCCTGAAGTCAGAAACCACAAACCTGTATATGAAGAACTTATTTGCAAAAGGGCTTATGGGCCATTTGAAGAATTCAGAGAAAAATTAAAAAAAAATACCTAGGATTTATATTTTTTTGCATGGCTGATGCAATTTCCAGGCGGATTTTACGTGGAATGAAAACCCTTTGGGAACTGATTGTGTATTTTATCCGATAGCTCTTGCAGGTTCAAATTTATTTTTGAAAAAAAATGGATCTAAGCTCTTCCTATGCATATGCCATGTAACCAGGGATCACGCCGAAAGTCACGATGCTGGCAACTTTACCAATGCGGGAACTTAGGAAATAGCAAACGGAGATCACTCAGAGAGGTTTTTAATATGTTTAACCATCATTCTATTGTTGGATTACTGACATTTAAAGATTAGTGCCCAGGTGCATAATGCAATGAATCAGTAACTAGTTGGCCCTTGACCAAACTTACTCCCTGCTATGTTTGAGTTAAAAAATTTTGTTCCTTTCATATTTCTCCCGGGGTTTTTTTCACAGAAATTGACAAGATGCTGGCAAGAATTGCACAAGATGATGTGAGTATTATTGCAATTTTGGTTTCAGGATTAAAATTTTCTAATTGAAAAAAAAAAAATCGGTACGCTTAATACACTTGGTATTATTCATTGAAATTCAGCTAAACAATGATCTGTTAACAGTGGTCTGTAAAACAGTGAACTGAAACCGGTTTTATTTGTCGTTTGTCAAGCAATCAACGTTTACAACAACATTGTGTTGGTCTGTGTTAGGGTGTGAGTTAGCACTGCAGCATCTAGGTCCATTCCATTATAAGTCCATCTCATGTCTGGACACAAGTAAATCACAATAGTAATAATATAATAATAATTTGTATTTTTAAAGTGCATGTACTGTATCCACCAGTATTGGTGCTCAAGGCGCTACATCATTATTACCCTGCTCGTTGGAACAATGAAGCATTCCAAATACCATCTCAGCTCCCTGGGAAGTATCCGCTCTGTTCACAAGTAGCCCCTCACCGGCAAAGGAAGCACAGTTGGGGTGACCAACAGACGCCATCTTGCGAAGCGCGGCCACTGCGTGTACATAGTACAAATCCCCTGGTGTACGTGCATCACACACAAGGAACGGTGCGCGTCAACCAGCGAAATGTCCCGCCCATGGGACGTCGTTGCTAGGTTAAAGGCCCCCCTTTTTCGGTGGCGCACGGAACTCATATAGCTCAATGCTGCCGTTTTGGCGCAAAGCAGCTAAAATCAATCACAATAACCATCTCTGCCCTCACAGGTACTCATTTTACTCCTGGGTGGAGAGAAGCAAAGAGTGACAAAGTGCCTTGCCCAAGGGCACACACACCATAACCCCAGGCAGGACTCGAACCCACAACCTGCAGAATTACCCACAGACCATGAATTCAATGCTCCAGACCACGAGACCATGGCAAGTCCTGCACCAAGTAACAGTGGGGACTTGTGAGGACTTGTGAGGTCTTGTGATGGACTTGTGAGGTCTTGTGATGGACTTGTGATGGACTTTACTACAACCCTGGGATACAGCTAGTGTTACTTTACATCGGACTTGATTTCCTGTGATGCTAGTTATTTAAAAATGTTTAATACAATCTAGTGAATATTTGAACACAGGATCTGAGGGACTACAGCCTTCATGAACTCAATGAGTTGTGGAATCTTATCGGTAGTCAGTCCGTTAGTCGGAGGCAGTGGATTGTGGAACTAGACGACACGCTGGACGGGTTTGAGACACAGAGGCTACAGAGGGTAGGTGTTTGAATTAATCTGAAAAATGTCAGTGAGGTTTTATGCAACAAACAATACACACATAAGATCCCTTTTCCCCATATGAAACTTTTCCCTATATGAAGCATTAAGGGGGGTCAGGTTGACGTTTTGGACAAGTCAGGTTGGTGTAGCGGTTCTTTCCTCGCCTTCCACCGCTGTGACCCGGGTTCGTTTCCCTCCCGGGCCAATATGTGGATTTGGTTTTCAGTTCATTGCTTGATTCCGTGGGTTTTCCCCAGAATAATCTTCTGGGGTTTTCTGCCCACCTCTAAAACTGTAATTTCTTCTCATTGTCTTCTCTCTACAGGTTTCTTCAGGCTTGCGCGCTACAGTGCCTAGGGCGCTTTTGAGCAGTCCTTGGTTTCATTAACAGAAATGATTAATAATTAATAATGATAATAATTCTTGTGCGTGTAATCGACGACTGATTTGTATTTCAAGTACTTTACTGTTTACACGTTGAAAATGGAAATTACAACGTCTTTATGCATAGACCCACAAATATAAATATTATAAGTGAGAGGTTTGCGGTAACCATGTGGAACTATCTCTTTTGTGAGTAGGTGTGGTTCTGAAAAGAACCTGTTGGTTTAACTCGACGTTTTGAACAGTATGCGTTGTTCGTTATCAGGAGAATGTCAGTTCATCATCATCCTGATGACGATTGATGAACAGAGCATAGTGTTTGAAACGTCGAGTTAAACCAACAGGTTCTCTTCAGAACCACACCTACTCACAAAAGAAATAGTTCACATGATGTTACCGCAAACCTCTCACTTATTGATCTCTCCACCATGTAAACCCTCAAGTCTCATATAAATATTATACCTTCTTTAATACTTGTACCAGATCCAAGATGTCCTGAAGTCCTACGCCAAGAACATGGAGAAGATCGCCTTCCTCATGCCGCCAGACGTGCAGCGCCTGATCAGCAAGGAAGCGCAGGTCATCAACCAGACCATTCTCAACAACCGTCGGGCCTACGCGGACCTGAACACCAGACTAATGAAGACGGACGTGGAGAGAGATAAGAACCACCATCGCGTCTGGGAGACCAGGGTGGCAGACTGGAAGCAGCTGAACACTGACGTTGCTGTCGACAAGTTCACGTATGTAGCCCCTCAACGTAGCCTGCACCCGATTTCATCAAACTCTTCGTAACTTACGATGCATCGCAACGCTGCGACGCGTCGTATCTCTACGATGCGTCGCAGCTGCGACGCGTCCTGCGATCCATTTCACTCAACACGTCGTAAGTACGACGCGTCGTAGGTGTATTTATAGCACAACTCGGTGACTGTTTTATGTCTTTAGTCAGCGTACAGTAAATAGTCGTCTGATATTCAACAAAGAGTCGTCGGATCTCAGCTTGAAATTTGTTAAAACGTAAAACAAAATGGCGGCCGTGCGATGCAATTTTGAAGGAAAACAAGCTCTCATTGGACTGTATAGCTACTTTGAAATTTCAACTCTAATATTCCGGTCTAATTCATAATTATTCAATGAATTTTCTATTTACAACTTTACACACATTGCCTCGGTATTATAATCTTGTTAATGTAATGTTTGTGGCATAAAACTGGCTTAGAAATGACTCTTCTTATTTTGCGATGACCACTAGACACGTCGTAACTTGCGACGTGTTTTAAGCCGTTGTCAAGGAACTTACGATGCGTTCAACACATCGCAACTTTCATGAAATGGAAGATACGACGCGTCGCGAGTTGCGACGTGTTACACGTCGTAACTTGAGTTGCGACGCGTCGCAGCGCTTCGTGAAATCGGGTGCTGGTGTCCTTTCTCCTATGTGTACTACATGTTGTGCATCATTGTTCAGGAAATAAAATTCCTCTACAATGGAACAAAAGTTGCGATGGACTAGCATCCCATCCAGGGGGAGTAGAAATATTCTCAGTCGTTTCATGCTACTGAAACCGGAGATAAACGCCGGCCTGATGGGCCACATTGGCTCGTGACAGACTTTACTTACTACTACAATAGTACAAAATAGTTGCACAGAAATTTCTCAAAACTTACCACTGTAAAACTGCTGAAACCCGGCATGCATGAATGGTTCGACATTCATGTTAACATGTTTGTTTTACATTGATTTGATTTTTGGCAACATTATCCTTAGGCATGTATTCAAGGATAACGATAAACGAAACTTACATTCCCCAAGACACTTTGTCATGTTTAACTCATTTACACAACAGGACCTGGAGAAGTTTTGGTTCGTGTGTTGCGCTTGATATTCCTCCTTGTACGGTGACCACGCAGTAGAGTTTAAAAGGAAAAGTGCATGCAATACAGGCAATACACGCAATAACACGCAATATGCGTTACTAAAGGTGATGCGTGAAATGGCAACAGCATGAATTGACAAACAAATTTCATGAATGGAAAAATTCCTTTATCAATTTATTGGGTTATACTTCACAAGATTTGAGAGTAAGTTTAAATCAAATTGTGGCAAAATGAAGATTGCAGGGTGTTAAGTCACATGGCATACGACTTATATGGCGAGTGTCAGCAAATTCAAACTAACTTTTGAGACATTTCGGCACAATTTTTTACGTGCGACCTACGAATGAGAAACTGGTGATAAGGCCAAAAAAAAAAATATTTGGTCTCTGGTCAGACCAAAGTTCCGGAATTGACGCGGCCACGCGGCTTCTTTTTTTTTTTGCTTTTTTTTTCTTTTCTTTAAAGGGAAAATACAACATTTGCAAACATCAAAAAATAAAACTACCAAATCATTTTGAAATACCTTGCTGGACTGATGGTGAATGACAGTGTAAAGCATCCTGTAAAATCATGGCACCTGTTATACTGTCATTTTCATGAAAAGTGGTATTTTTGAATCAATTTCCAACGCTGATCGGCCGATCAGCGTTGGAAACAACTGGCTTTTTTCCCTCAAATACTGGCCCCAATTGACCATCACACTTGTTTGCAATCGATTACAAACCTATGAACGGGTACGAGCCAGCTAGACTGGTTCCCTGACCTTACAATTCCCCAATGTATGTAAACTGCTCTGTTTCTTCTTATATGGAGTCAGGGAACCAGACTACAGGAAAATGATCGTTTTTCTTGGTTTTTATAGCATTTTCGAACCCAAAACCTCAAAAAAGTCAGTGTAACTATATTTGCTATATATTTCCAACCCCCCAATTCCATCCATTTCTGAAAATTACAGCAAAAGCAAATGATGTTTATTCCCTTCAAGCTTGGATTGTACAGACAAGGTGGGGTACTATTTTGCTTTTTTGGTGTCCTCATGTACATTGGTGTCCTCCATAATTTGCCTTGGTGCTTTCGATCATTTGCCTAGGTGCAATTTCCCATTCCTTGGTGCTCTTTGGAAAAAAAATTGAGGAGGTGCGGAAATAGAGGGCGCTGTTGGAGCTACCGCGGAACTTTTTGGGAAAAAAAAGATCGACGCGCGTGATTAAAATCGATGCGCGCGCTGACCAGAGACCGACTTAATTTTTTTTTGGCCTAAAGCAGGATTTTACATCACCAGTGCAAGTATTTCTGTAAGTTGTGAATTACACCTATTCATTATGACTGTTGCGTGTTTCACTCGTGCAGGTTATTCATGCAGAGCGAGGATGTCAAGAATCCCTGCAGGATCGGATTTCTCCTGGATGAGCTGAAGGCGGAACAAAAGATCTTCAACAGCAAGAGGCTGGACCTGCTCCAGGCACTCAGGTATACATGAAAAGTCTAAGTTCTTTCATACATTTGACTTTCTGAAGTGTTAATATTGGATAGAGTGAACCAACTCCCCCCCCCAAAAAAAACCCCAATCCAACCCCCCCCCCCCCCCCCCCCAAAAAGAAATGTAGGTACACGTTTATTTGCTGATTCATTGTATTGTGAGCCACTTTGTGAGATCCATATTGAATGAAACCTTGTTATTTTTGATAGGGAAATGAAGCCACCTGGATCCACCAAGACAGCCGTGTATGAATGGAACAAGCAGCTGGCTACGGCCAACCAACAGCTGGAACAGCTACACATCAAGTACCTGGGCAAACTGCACAAGGAGTATGAGAGAGTGTGTCAGGATTGCCTGGATCAGGTGGACAAATACAGGGTAGGTATGCGTGGATGATGGCCAATCATGGCCCATCAAGCCAGCGTTTATCACCAGTTTCCCTGGCTTCAAAACGACTGAGAATATTTCTATTTCCCCCTGGATGGGTTGCTAGTCCATCGCAGGTTACTCCCCAGCTAATGCCGGTACCCATTTATACTCCTGGGTGGAGAGAGGCAAGGGTGGGTGAAGTTGCTTGCCCAAGGACACAACATATGACCAGCAGCTGGATTCGAACCCCTGACCCTCCGATCACGAGTCACGAACCCTAACCACTAGGCCACACTCCCCCTGGATGATGGCATACGGCCTTTGAAATGATCAATATACATGTCATGTTCATATTTCGATACATATATATGAAAGAATCCAGTTACCAACTCAAAAGTTATTTGGAGTTGTCTGCAAAGGCTCTTCATGCAGTGACATTATTCATTTTGTGTTTTATTTGCACATTCAGTAAATGTACATTTGATTTCAGGATGTCTACAATAGGACTTAAGCTCACAAACGAATTTTTGTTTTGAACAACTACTTATCAAAACAATTTATTTGTTTTATTTGTTTTTGTTTTTCAAGAGTGATAAATTGAATGTTTTTATATTTAAAATGGAATAAATTGTAAATTGAAAATAAAAAAAAGTATTTCGCCTACATATTGAAACACCTCTTCAGTAACATTTTCAAAAGTTGCATATTTTAATATGATTTTTCAAACACACTGGGGTTAATGGCTAAGGTCATGAAGGTGGTGATTTTCTTTGAGTGGTGCATGTATATACAGGTATAACTTTTTCATCAGTACAAAAAGGTTCTGCTCATAGCCATCCCAGCAGAAAAAAAAGTCCTCTTAACGATGGGAGCTAAGCATAAGGTCTGTTTGGCTAGCCCTCACTACACAATGCTACAGCAATACCTAGCATTAAAATTTGCATTAACCCTGATTGAAAACCCCATCTGCAGTCAAGCAGAATACCTAATTGTCTTGATCCCTATTTGTATTCCAGGAGGAGCTCCTTGAGGCAGGGGTGTGCACGGAGGAGAAGGTACAGGAGGTGATCGAGGAGCACTGCCTGCCGCAGGTGGGCAACCAACAGAGGATCTTTGAGAACACACTGGAAACTATTGATGTAAGTAAAGACAGAGCCTGTATAAATGTTAGTTGACTTTAAAGCTATAGTCCATCATTTGCAGCCATCCGAAAAGTAACTGGCGTAATTATTGTTGAAAAACATACTTGGTTGAAAGATAGTAAGGGGACTAAACTCCCTGTGAAATTATTCTTTCTGGCAAGCTGTCATTTTGAAGTAATCAACGAAAGAAGGCCTTTCCAACGGTGCTTCTTAAGACGCACTGTAGGAAAATTTAAATTAGTTGTTCGTTTTGTTATTCGGCGAAGCGCGCGCAAGCATTGGCACGACGCACACGCGCGTGCGGTTGCTATAATTCGTCGGTTCAGTGCGCGACATCGCGTATAGCTGCAATCGGCTCAGTGAGAACGCGTCTCGGACGCTGAATTCAGGCCCAATTCAAAACATGATTCAGCAACTTTTGGTTTGAAATTGAGATCCTAGAATGCTGTTTTTCTCGGAATATACAGCTGAAGCTGAGCTGAAACTTCATCAGGTTAGTTGTTCAGCACCCTTCTTTAGATTTTGAGCACTTTTTTGTTGCTATAAACGAACAAAATGCACAAATTACAAATGGTGGACTATATCTTTAATGTGGCTGTTCTAGGTGTGTTTCTGAACTTCAGAGACATATCTTAGGCCATGTAGTATATGATTTCTAACATACAGTTCATGTTACCACATTTAAATGTAAGATGCACTTGCGCATCACTTTACACATTTTGAGTCCATTTTTTTTTCCTATCCCTATTACACATGACATCTATGATTTTATAATTCTGATGCACTCTTTAAATTTAATGCAAACATCCTCCAAGAGTGATTATGAATAGCAAATTACTTACCGAAGAATTAAACAAAAAAAGTGAAGTCATTCTTAATGATGCCTGAATGGCAAATTACAAAGCTCAGAGGTAACAGGGACGGGGAAAATGTCACACTTTGGACCCTTAATTTATAAAATGACACAATTATCAAGCAGCTGTTGATATGACATAAATACATTGTAAAGCAATTATTTGGTCATTGTTATTGACACTTGAATGGCAACTTACAGAGTTTTGAGGTATTTCAGGGACAGAAAAACTGTCACACTTTGGACCCTAAATTTATAGAATTCCACAATCGCCAATCAACTTTTAATATGACATGAATACTTTGCGAAGCAACTATATGGTCATTCTTCCTTGACAGAAATCTCTGGAGCAGTTAGCTGACAAGCACAGCGAGCAGTTGCGGTCTCTCTTCAAGTTTTCCCAGGGGGCGGCCCATCTGTGGGACGTGCATGAGATCGGCCTCGCCAAGAAAGAACGGGACTTACAGGAGAGACTGGAAGACTGCAGACATGAACATGATAATCAGAACCAGGTAAGAAGAAAAAACAGTGAAAAATTATTACCTTGGCCTGATTTCATTGCTCTGAAAACTGCAGAATTCTGCGCTTATATAAAATTCTTCACTAATTTTTTGTAAGCACAGCATACTTCGACAATTCCACGCAAAAGTAGACATGGCTGAAAAGTGGAAAATGAAATCTTCAAAATACAGTATGTCCCCACAAAGTGTCCGTCTGACTAATATTTTAGAAACAACTACAAAACCAACAAGTCAATTTTGAAAATGTTTGATTTTGCAGACTTAGCCTAAACCCCTATGAGTTTCATTTTATTTTGGTCACGCATCACTACGCAATTGTCAATTGATCGCAACAACATTTTTGGACACTGTGACCAAGTTACTTGCCTTAATGAATTTCAGTGCTGTGTTATGTAAGCTGTGTGAAATCCTTCATGTTGTGAAAAAGGGCTGCGGTTGGGATTGGAATCATTTGCCTGGCTATCAGTCATCATGGCAAGACCTCAGTTTAATGCTCAAGGGCAAACGATTCTAATCCCAAACCACATCAGCCTTTTTTTCACAACATGAAGGATTTTACACAGCTTATATAACAAAGCACTTAATTTCATCAAGGCAAGGAATTTGGCCACAGTGTCCAAAAATGTAGTTGTGATCAGTTGACCAATGTGTCATGAGACATGATGGAAATTAAATGAAACTCATTGGGTTTTAGGCCAAGGATAATGAGCATTTGCACAATCAAACATTTGCAAAATTGACTTCATGGTTTTGTAGTTATTTCAAAGATAATGAGACGGACACTTTTTTGGGGACATACTGTATGAGCAACCTCAAACCTATTATCATATTAAAGAGGACAACAAGATGAAATATGGTTAAGTGTATATATTCTCCAAAAAGCTGGTCTGGGGGGGGGGGGGGGCGGCTAGTTACTGAGGTTCAAGGGATCTTCTGTGAGAAAAATCCACTCTAAATGCTGTGACTTTATAGAATAACAGCGCAGAGTTGAAGGAAAATCCCTGTTAAATGTAACGCGAGTTACCATGAAATTGCCCACTTAGTTTTCGGCTATTCAACCATACAAACCCAAATCAATTACCGATTTATGAAGTGATAAGTGTCAGTGCAGAAATTTCATTTCATTTCATTTCATAAAAGGTTTATTAAAAATTGTCATCACAGCAAAAATTGAATTGCAACAATTATTACAATATTTAAAAAAAAAACATGAAGAGATAACAATCAATATATATTTAAAACATTTAAGAAAAGTAAAAAACTAAAATGCACCAAAGCGCAGACGAACCAGCGCAGTCTCGACACTCGCGCAAACTCACTGCACTCCATCCCGACCCAATCATCCCATGAATGGAATCAATTCCATGGACAAGTGGGATTATTTATGGGATTACTGAGACGGCATGATTTTCACCTTTGTAAATTAAAAATGTAGAGATTGTTCCATTGTTTCATGTGCAGTGGTTGATTTTGGAGGATTCCTCCCATCTTAAACAATCCTTGAGCATGAAGAAAAAAATGTAGTGATTATATTTGTTGTCTTTTCCTACATTTAGGATATGGAAGCAAATCTTGACATCATCATGGACAGACTGAGGCAAGAAAGCAGTGAGGAAACGTTGAAGGACCGTCTGCAAAAAGCACTGCTCATGCTAGATAAGATCAAAACAAGGTACACATGCTTTGTAATTACAAGCGGCAGTATTGATATGAAACGGGGAACTTTTGAATAAGATTCATTATACCTGTCGTTGAACTCTTGTAGAAATAACACTTCATAGATTTTTTATGTATCTTGGAGATGTATCGATTTCACCATTCAGTGATGTAAAGTTGTTGACCCGGAATGCTTAGTGATCTCTGAGAACCTGTTAGTAAAACAATTTATTTCAAGAATTTAGGAAGCTTCTCAGAAGAAATAGTTGGATTTTACAGTTAAAGGGAATGTACATCATTGGCTTTTGCTGTAATTTTCGAAATGAACTATTTGAGGGGTTAGTATAATATATCAAATAGTGTTACACTGATAAGTTTGAAGTTTTGCGTTCAAAAATGCTGGAAAAACCAAGAAAAACAAAAATGTTCAAGTAGTCTGGTTCCCTGACTCCACTTAAGATGAAATGAATCAATTTATAGATGCCGTAAAATTGTAAGGTAAGGAAACCAGTCTAGCTGGCCTGCACCCGTTCATGAACATGTAATCAATAGCAAACAAAATTTGGACTGAAAAAAATGGTAAATTTGGAGCAGTAGTTGAAAAATAGTTAGGTTTTTCCAACGGTGGTCGGACGACCACCGTTGGAAATTTGTACAAAATGCCACTTTTCTTGAAAATGACTTCACACCAGGTGCCATAATTTTACAGGATGCTTTAGACTTTCATTTATCCAACATCCTAGTAAGCTATTTCGTAAAAATTTGGTAGTTTTCTTTTCCAATGTTTGCAACTGTTGTATTTTCCCTTTAATAAAGCTAATAAATTAACCGTTGTGGTGATGACTTTTGTAGCTATGAGCAGTTCCACAAGGACCAGATGCGAATTGTGAAGGATTATCCAGATATGGTCAAGGAGGAGCTACGGGGATACGACGTGGCAGTCTGCACGTTCTTTGAAGTCGACAGGCTGCATCCAACGGTAAGAGGACTGCAATCATTTTTACCCCTCAGCCGAGAGGCTCGAGGGGTATTGTCATCGCCTAGGGCGTCCGTCCGTCCGGATGTGTGTGTGTCCGTTCTGACCATACCACCCTTGTGGGGTGATGTTCCTTTCAGGACACATCACCCCACTTTTTTCACAATAGAAAAACATCACCCCAGAAGAGAATCTTTAGAAAAAGGGACAATGGGAACACAATGCTATCACCCCACAATTCCGTCTGGCTGGAACGTCCGTCCGTCCGTCCGGGTAGCTTGGTTTCCGGATGATAACTTGAGTTAGAAATGTTGTTTGGGGTTGTAACTTCGGTAGGAGGTTGCCCTTGGGAGTAGGCAAGTTGGGATTGGTTTTGAGGTCAAAAGGTCAAAGGTCAAGGTCACCGTGGTGAGTTAAAGGTAAATGGTTTCCGGATGATAACTTGAGTTAGAAATGATATTTTGGTGTCTAACTTTGGTAGAGGGTTGCCCTTGGGAGTAGGCAAGTTGGGATTGGTTTGGGGGTCAAAAGGTCAAAGGTCAAGGTCACCGTGGTGAGTTAAAGGTAAATGGTTTCCGGATGATAACTTGAGTTAGAAATGGTATTTTGGTGTCTAACTTTGGTAGAGGGTTGCCCTTGGGAGTAGGCAAGTTGGGATTGGTTTTGGGGTCAAAAGGTCAAAGGTCAAGGTCACCATGGTGAGTTAAAGGTAAATGGTTTCCGGATGATAACTTAGGTTAGAAATGAGATTTTGATGTCTAACTTTGGTAGGGGGTTGCCCTTGAGAGTAGGCAAGTTGGGATTGGTTTTGGGGTCAAAGGTCAAGGTCACCATGGTGAGTTAAAGGTAAATGGTTTCCGGATGATAACTTAGGTTAGAAATGAGATTTTGATGTCTAACTTTGGTAGTGGGTTGCCCTTGGGTACAGGCAAGCTGGGATTGGTTTTGGGGTCAAAAGGTCCATGGTCAAGGTCACCTTGGTGAGTTAAATGTATATGGTTCCGAATGATAACTTGAGTTAGAAATGAAATGTTGGTGTCTAACTTCGGTAGGGGGTTTTCCATCGGTACAGGCATGTTGGGACTAGTTCTGGGGTCAAAGGTCAAAGGTCAAGGTCACCATGTTGAGTTAAAGGTTAATGGTTTCCGGATGATAACTTGACTCTGGCTGAGGGGTTTCAACAGCAACGCTGTTATTTTTAGAATTGATCAGAGAACATTTCTAGCTTGTATGAGGTTCATGGCTTCATATTAACCAGTTTGTGTCAAAGGACGTGATAACACGCACTGGCTGTTTTTATACACAGGCACGGCTGACGGGTTAAGACGTCAAGATAGCCTCGACTCGCCTCCGGGTGATGTCTAAAACACGCTAAACCCTAGTGCCTTTCATACACACACACAAAGTCTGTGAAGTCTGTGGAGGCGGACCGTGTGTTGATCTAGAATTGACCGTTATGCACGGCCTATTGTTGTACAACTTAAGCTCTAGTGCATACCCCGGAGTATTGAAACATACGAGGTTTCGGCAAGAAATATCGTACAAATACTGTTGAAATGACTCTTGCGAATCAGTATGTCTGGCGTTTGGCTGTATATCAGAAGTTGGCTGGAAAATTTTGCCTTTTGCGAAAATCTAGAGTTTCAGCAAAAATAATCCCGCTGCGAAGTGGTTAAGGTCAATTGAATACAAAAGTTGTTCACTTTTGAATGAGGCATTGGACCGAAAAAAGCGGCCCATATTTAGTTATTGAATTATTACTTTACAAATTTCGAATTACTTGCAGCCCAACAGTGATTCCGTTCTCATGGGTAGGCTGGTTCCTGCCCAACAATCAGTATCGATATTGTACAGACCGGAATCCAGTCTACTCCTAAGATGAATCTGTTTGTGCCCAAAATAAAAACCTTTTTTTCAGAGGGTTGCAGATGCCAGAAATAAAAAAGGAGTTCTGGGGTTGGAATAAAAAGTTGAAAATGTATAAAGAGAAACAAATTTGAATTTTTGGAAGAGCACGGATTATCATCTTTACACAATTGTTTTGGTGTGTATTGTGGAATGTAGGAACGGCAACAACTGATAGAGCAAGAGTTGAATGAGGAGGCCAAATCCCGGGGCAAGAAACACCTCAAGAAGAAGACGCATCGCAGCGCGACGCCAGCCGGGGAGCTGACTGCTCCGCCTGACAGTAGGGTGTCCTCCTCAAGATCCGTGACTGTAAGTTGGTTGAATCTCTTTGATTCTTGCTGTTTTCCCATTGACTTTTCCCCAGAGAGGGCCAGTCTATAAACCTGACTGACTGACTGACACACTGACTGACTCACTGACCGACTGTCACTTGTGAATCAGACGGGTTATCTATCTCATGGACTGACTCACTTGTGAATAAGACTTATTACCTATCTCACTAATTGACTGTTATTTGTGAATAAGACTGGTTACCTAGATCTCACTGACTGGCTATCACTTGTGAATTAGACTGGTTACCTATCTTACTGACTGACTGCCACTTTACCCTTTTCTGGGAGCGGCTTTACAAGGCTTGCTTATTCATGTATGCCTTGTAGTATCTACACCACATGTAAATTAGTCTGGCACCACGTGTTGTTCATGTACTTTCTTGATACATGTGCAGGCAATAAGTCAAGTCTCCAAGCGAAAACAACAAAAGTGGATTTTTTTCATTTCCTTCACTTTACCACTAACTTTTTAGCCACTCTGAATCGACGAAATGTAATTTTGTGCACTCTGGAACCAGCTTTACCTGGCTGCCTTGTTTACATATTCATGAGGGTGATGCAAATTTGAGCACTGGGGTTTCCCCTTCACTGACATGGAGTTATAAGCACAGAATACTCAGTGCCTGTCGAGAGTTTGTGAGAAAATGTTTTTAGAAGCTTTCATGGGTGGGAATCGAACCCATGACCTCATGCTTACTAGTGCAGATCTCTTACAATTTGACCATCAAGTTGGGTCAGTTAGCTGGTGAAGGGCGAAATCCAATTTTTTTATCCCCTGGCTTTTAAGCCAAGAATGAGGGATCTTGCGATAGTGTATTCCTTCTGTGTGTCCGTGTGTTCCATTTTGGTTAGGTTAACTGTTTAGTGGTGTCTTCTAAAAAGTCAGACGTCAATCGCAGCCAAACTTGGTGGCAATAATCTTTGGGTAGGGGGACTTCAGATGACTTGAGACATTTGAGGTAAAAGGCCATCTAGGGTCAAATGAGGTCATTGTTGATTTAGTACATCATGTATACTGAAAAGTGTTCTTACGTGTACTAACTCACTGTATAAATACTGCCAGCATGCCAGGGGGATCGCGCAGGTTTAACTTGCAGTATATTAAAAAACTAGTCTGATTGTTTATAGAGCATTCCGTGTGAAAAATCACTGGACTTTTCTGTAAAACCATGCATTCATATTCACTCTTTCTAGTCCTTTTGATGAATGTTCTAGTGTCTGTTCTATGTTTTGTGTGTAAAATCTCAGCACTGCTACTATTCACTGTCTTGATATACTAGTCCTAAACCTCCCTTCCATAGTCCTGTTCACAGTCCCATCCCGCACAGTCTCATCCACAAACTCATCCTTCATTCCTATTCAGGCTCTAAGCACTAAAGAGGTTAAGTTTCCAGAATCCAGAATCACACAAAAAAGAAGCAAACTCCTCACTTTTATGTTTGTGAAATTGTTCCACCTATTTTTAAAGTTTTTGAGTGACGCTGAGGTAAATAGTATCAGGAGTGACTCAGATTGATTAATCGATTATTTTGACAAGAACTGAACGAGGGGCGGGATTACTTTTCACTCTTCCTCAAGCCAGGCGGGTTGAAGCCATCACCCTCGGACAACACACTCATATTTTCCGGCCTCGCTCGCTGCGAGCGGGTCGCTGACGAATATTTCCGGCCTCGCTCCCTATATGTTTATCAGTCACCTGTTCCAAATACCACTAAAAACCTTTGCGTGTATACAAGTCATCCGGCGCGAACTGGTTCATAAATTTTGGTTTCACGTAGGCAAAATTCATGTTTTTATTTTTCCATTGAGACAAGACTGTGGTGACTTTCAAATGATTGCAATGGTCAATGTTTGGATGAAGTGGTATTTATTTGTTCCAAACTTCAAACTTTATATGCTTCAGCCAATCTCAAAGGAGTATTATCAGTGTCACATAGAATTTCTCCAAGGGAGCTACTCAGTGTATTCGGCTCAATACATATGAGCACTGCCTAGTTTAAGTTCCCCTCTTCTATTGTCTCCATATTCACCAGTTCACACCATTACTCATTTCCTTTCCATTCATCCATCTCTTGCACCTCTTTCACCTCCTGCTCATCTCTCTTCATGCACCACTGCCCTCCTGCTTCCCACCTACCTGCCTGCCTGCCTGCCTGCCTGCCTCCGTGCCTCCCTGTCTGCCTGCCTGCCTCTCCCCTCCCTACCTGCCCTGCAGGGCAGCATTAGTCAGGCCAAGATGAAATGGAAAAAGGCATTTCCTAAAAGGGTAAAGTATTCCCCACTTTATGAGAAGGAACTGTTTTCTCAAGTTGTTTAATATGTTGGATCAATTGGCCTTGCATTTCTATACACCTTCAAAGACTCATGCTTGTTACTGTTACTGAATTTTTCTTCTTTGTTGGCTTAAAGACCTTTAACTCATTCTGTTTGCTTGTTTTTGCATGTAAGAATAGATATTATGTGTTCTAATTAACAGTTTGCTTCATTTTTTTCATTTGTTTGTGGGTTTTTCAACGAAGATCTGCTCCTAGAGTTTGTCAGTGTTTACTTGTTCCTTTCATTTCTTAATTTGCATTCAAATTATGTTTTTATGACTAGAAGTTTTTTAATTGTTTACTTTTCACGTCAACTTTTCATTTTACGCAAAGGTATGTTTTTATATGCATTGTTTTGTTGTATGTTGATAATTGAGATGAAAATGAATTGTAAATAACACCTCAGATACATTTTTTTTGGCAAGCTTTCATAGTCAGTATTGTACAGGAACCCAATCATACATTCTCTTAACTAATATAGTTTTAACTGACATCAGCCCCGTGAAAAGTATATATAATAGTGTGTAGGCTCTATAGACATTATGCATTAAAGGGAATATACAACATTTGCAAACATCGCAAAACAAAACTACCAATTTTTTTACGAAATACCTTAATACGATGTTGGTAAATGACAGTCTAAAGCATCCTGTAAAAGTATGGCACCAGATGTGAAGTCATTTTCAAGAAAAGTGGTATTTTTGTATAAATTTCCAACGGTGGTCGGCCGACCACTGTTGGAAAAACCCAACTATTTTCAACTACTGCTCCAAATCTACCAATTTTTTTAGTCCAAATTTTGCTATTGGTTACATGTTCATGAACGGGTGCAGAACAGCTAGACTGGTTCCCTTACCTTACAAATTGATCCATTTCATCTTTAGTGGAGTCAGGGAACCAGACTACTTGAACTTTTTTGTTTTTCTTGGTTTTTCCAGCATTTTCGAACACAAAACTTCAAACATGTCGGGGTAACAATATTTGATCTATTATACTAACCCCTCAAATAGTTCATATCTGAATATTACAGCAAAAGCCAATGATGTACATTCCCTTTAAGGCGGAGTTAGAGGGCAATGGTTTTGTATTTCCCTGGTAGCCATGAGTAAACCTTTTGTTGCATTCATTGTAACTTAAATAACAAAGAATACCTTCTGAGACACCTGCAATGCATTTATATTAAGGTCTATCTTCCTGAATTCTGCCAACAAATCTCCTGGTTAATTTTGAAGGATTTGACAGAATTTAGAGCAAAGTCACTTAAGATTTTTGTTGTTGATTTTCACACCACCAGAGTTACCCAGGCGATTCGGCCATCAGCCAGAGCCCCGTCCCGATGGCCGTGAAGGAAGTCCTGTCCACCAACGCCGGCACCACCTTCTATGTGCTGACCGTTGCCGGGGAGCATGGGATATCGGAGGAGGATTCTGGGAAGGATCAGGACGGAGGAGGAGCGACGTTTCTGACGGAGAGTGATGCAGCGGAGCGGGAGGCCGTTGCAGCCTACACGGAGAACGTCTTGATCCCTGAGGAGCTGTTCAAAGAACTGCGGAAAATGTGAGTATTCAATAAAAAGTAGAGAAAAAGTGGTAGCAATTCACAGTACGATATGCAGTCAAGCATTTGCCTTAAAGAGGCCACTTTCAATTGTTACTCATTTCCCAGTCCGAAACTTTGGGACTCTCAATACTGTGTATGAGAGTCCCAAAACTTAAGGTATTGAAAACATGCAATACAAGAAAATAGGCTAGCACCTGAAACAACCAGTCCAGCACCGCTTCAGTACTGCATCAATAAACTGTGCCAAAAGAAACATGTGGCATGAACCGGAAACTAGTCTCTATTTACTACACATTTCTCCATAGTCAGCCACCAGACTATTGACACTGAATGAAGAGGTCAGTCTTTTCCAAATAGTTGGACCATGGTTGGACATGTAGTCTAGGCTTGAGCCTCATTTTGAAAATCACTTGACTTCCCTCTCATGTGCAAAATATTGAAGGAATTTCTCCTTTAAAAATTGAATTGAGTCTACAAACTTGGTTGGTGAAATACTGAGGACCTTTTCTTTGCTCAATGGAATTTTTGGAGAAATTTGCTGGCTAAAGAGTGAGTAAAGTTGACCTGATTTTAGTTTTGCACGTTTCATCAGAGCACTCCAGGTTTCAGTCTGCTCGTTTTCTGCATCTGCAGTTGTGCAATTTATCATCTGTCCTTCATTATTTGCATACAAAGGGAAACCTCGTAATTTACAGAATTCAAAGTTGTGCATCCGAATAATTGTAATCATCGAGTCTGAGACCCCATTCCTTATGAGAAAATGAAAATCCACTCGTATGTTTTGAACTTCAACGGATATGAATGTTGCAGTTTCTTTCAAAGTAGTGTTCAAAATGATAAATCCCTTGTGTTGATGTATAAACAAACAAGACTGCTTGAGGCTGCAAAAGTCATTTTGTATTGATGAACACTTTGCAAGAATTGAAAAATAGAGCGAACTGGATGGAGGGGTCCCAGACTTGATGAACGCCCAAATAACAGAAACACTATGGAGTCCTTATCGTCAATTACACATTTTTTTTTCATTGGAAAATTCGAGAAATGAATATTGACTTTTCCGATGATACACCACAGGCGGAGCTGAGTTCGTGCCTCTGTCAACAGCTTTTTGGAATGCGAATTATTTCCTCTCCGTCTTAAATGCTATATATGATTATGAACAATTGTTTTGTCTGTTTGCAGAATGCGTCTAGAGTTTCTGAACCATCTGGAGATGTGGTCTGTGGAGGCGGTGGAAAGAGCCAACAGTGTGGTAGCAGCCAAGGTAGGTCAAGATGTGATGCTTTATGGCGATGTGGTCCAGTGGTTACGGTGTCCAACCCGTTGTGCTTGTGTCCTTGTGCAAGGCTCTCTACTACAATTGCCTCTCTCCACCCATGAGTATAAATGGGTAGCTGTGAGGGAAGAGACTAACTTGCGCTGGTCTTGGCTGCAGAAAAAATTGGTCCCATGGCCTGTTGAATGGGGGTAATAAGGGCCCGTGACCATTCAGCCCCGGTATGAAAAGGGCCCCCCAGTTAGCTCGTCCCCTCCCAAGAAGTCCTCTCGTACCGTCCCAGCTACCGGCCCAGGAGCTGGTCCTGTTGCTAATCAGGAACTCCTCTATCATGGGGTCTATTGTTTGCAAGTATTGACACATGTAATATATCCCAGAAGAAACCCGCTTGTGGTTTTCATCTCTCAGCGCGAAACAATAGAACACTTTTGTCGGAACAGATCAAAACCCCTGCCATGCGGTTTCGCGCACAATGGGACCGTAAATTACCAAGGCATTATGGAAGGATTTTATCTTTAATCCGGTAAGTCTGCTATTGTTCTGCTCTGGACGTTCTCTGAAGGGCAATAAATTGATGCGCCTGACTGACTTCAAAACTTCTGGTCAGACACAACCATGTACCGGACGAGACTGGGCTGAAGACCGGACTGGCTTTGGACCGGACGGGGTACCGGGGGCCCTTTTCATATCAGGGCTGAATGGTCACGGTCCCTAACTGTGAAGCCCTTTGAGACTTAGCTTTGGTGATAAGTGCTCAACAGTGTGTCCCCAAAAAAGTGTTGGTCTGACTGTTTTTAAAATAACTACAAAACCATGAGGTCAATTTAGAAAATGTTTGGTTGTGCAGATACTCCTAAGCCTTGGCCTCAACTCCTATGAGTTTCATTTAATTTCAGTCACGCATCACTGCACAATTGATCACAACAACATTTTTGGACACTGTGACCAAGTTCCATGCCTCAATCAATTTCATTGCTAAATGTAAGCTGTGTAAAATCCTGCATGTTGTGAAAACAAGCTGATGTGGTTTGGCATTGGAACCATTTGCCCTTGAGCATTAAACTGAGGTCTTGCCATGATGAATGATAGCCAGGAAAATGATTCCAATCCCAACTGCAGCCAGAAGATTCTTCAAGCTCACAAAATTGGGTGGAAATACTAAAAAGGTGGATTTGACTTAAGAATGAATTATAACTTGGAGGGCACTACTTAAACAGTTAGAATGCTGTTTATTCGATGGCAATTTTAATGAGTATTTGTTTTACTCCAGAATGAGGAGTTGAACAGCGAGTTGGATCTCCGCCTTCACCTGCATGGTCCGCGATCCAAGCGTGCTGAGCTGGACATCCACCACGTCCGTGCCGCCGAGCTGGTCCTCCACCAGGAACGCGTCTCACGCCACTCCAAAGGCATCAACGGCGCCCTCAATGACGTCAAGTCCCGATTTGCCGAGATGCAGCACGAGCACAACCGACTGGCCGAGAAGTTCCGGGACGAGATTGACGCATTGGAGGAGGTGTTTGTCAACGCTAGCAAGTCGGCCACGTAAGTTTTGTGCTACTTTGACTCATTTTATTTTGTACCGTTAATTGCCGAGCCAAGTTTTGCAGAGCCGTCAAGCAGAAAATAGCAGATAGCAAATTGCTAAATAGGAAACCAGTCAGAATATACAGGTCGTCCCATAAAAAAACAGTCGAATCGAGCATGTTTTCAGAAAAGTGGGGGTAGTATTCAAAATTGTGTCTAATGTATTGCTGAGTAGAATAATTGGTCTTCCAAATGCTTTTTATCTGGTTTCATTAGGATATTTTGTTCAAAAGATACAGCAATCACAATACGGGACTTGAAAAACCACTTGGGCCACTTTTTTTATTTATCAAGTTTACAGATCGAAGCCGGTAGAACAAGTGACACGTTACTCTTGAACAAAGGAAATAAATCCTGTGTGTTTCTCTAAATGTGCTTTCTCACTTTCAAGAAAAGTGGCCCAAGACAGTTTTTTAACCCTTGAGTTCAATGAAGCATAGTGTTTGTTCCAATGCATCGATCTGAATGAAATAAAGTTTGTATAGTAGATTGGTTTTCTGACTTTAAGAGGTAATTTGAAAATATTCCAAAACTCACGTGCAATATACCTTTATTAATTGGTTTTCGAGTGTTAGTTTTTTTTTGTGGGACAACCTGTATAACATGACGTTTTAATCTGATATTGGAACTTGGGCCCCAGTTTACTGCGTTGCGAAGCACATGATTTATTGCGCCACTAAGCACATGAGTTTCTGCTTCATCCATCCATCCATTTGCTGTGCAGTAAGCTCAGCAAAAGGCACACCAACCTTAGTGAAATATTTCCTTCAATTAGTGACGTAACAATAAAAATCTCCATGCACGGGCAACTGTTAGCACATCTGAGCGGAGAACATATTGTTTGGGGTTAGCATAATTTGCTGCTACAGTGCACAACTTTTCTGTTAACTGTCGAGCAGGGTCATGTAATTGTCCCTTGGTTTTCGACTGTAATCTACTCTTTTCTCTCTTTGTGTCCCCTTAGTCTTGTAGCCTTGTCACATCAGGTCAGCACCAAGGTAGAGACTCACATGGATGTCATCCGTGTCTCACTCAGGCAGTTCCGTCAGTACCTGGATGACACGCTGCAGATGCTGAGAGAATCCAACGCTAGATTCATCAAGTCATTCAAGTAAGTGGGAACCTCAGACGATTTGTGTTCAAACTTACAGTTGTCCTAAGTGAGTATAAAAGCATACAAATTGTTCCTAGAACTTACATTTGGCTTTTTGTTAAGGATCAAGCTGTAATTAATAGTAGTCATTCTCCAACAAAGCCATTTCCAAATAACACTTCCTATTACCTGATGGAAATGTCCATATGAATGACCACGCCTATATCAAGGTTGTTATTAAGGGAATAACAGTGTGAGGAGCCGGTCTTCACTGCATGATAATGACCGGGTGTGGGGGTGACTGCTGTTAATGGACCGAGACGAAGTCGAGGTCCATTAACAGCGGTCACCCCCACACCCAGTCATTTGAGTTAAAATGCTCCAATTTTGTGACTTTTTTCCAGCGATATTTCCAGACTTTTTTGTGTTCATGTTCATGGGCCATATTTTAGCTTAACAGCTTTCATATCTTTACCTGATGGAGGAAGCTGAAATCTCGTTTACACATTCCTTGTGTCCGGAATTACAAAGATGCTTGGTTTAGGAAAGGTAAATATGTCGGTGGGTGAAGTGTTCAAAGAAAATAAATCGTAGATCTACGCTTTCGTCGTAAACATCCTCAGTATATACTGCACTGCTGTACGATGTCGTTTCAAAACTTCCTTACGCACGCGCACGCACGCATCCCTAGCAACTGTGTTGCGTACGCGCGCGTCAGTCTCACGCGATGGGGGTTGAGGGCATGTGCAGTGCTCTATTGTTACAAGCTACCGCAGGACTGTTACTATATTTGGACCAATCATTGGCTTGCATGAGGCTGGACGGGGCTTGATCAATGCTGGTTCAGGGGCCATTTATTCGCTTGATCTTTGAAGCCGGTCCATTATCACCGTTAATGCCCGGCCACGTGATCGAGTCTCGACCAATCAGAAACCATCAACTCTCCAAGGTATTTATTAATGGTCAATCAATGTAGTCCAGCGTATAACTGTGAAGGTTTTGCACTTTATGAAGTATAAAACTTGGCACACATCCATTTTATAGTAAGTAAAATCTGTCACAAGCCAATGTGGCCCATCAGGCCGTCGTTTATCTCTTGTTTCAGTAGCATGAAACGACTGAGAATATTTCTATCCCCCCTGGGTGGGATGCTAGTCCATCGCAGGTTACTCCCCAATTAATGCCGGTACCCAGATATACTCGGGGGTGGAGAGAGGCAAGTGGCGGTGAAGTGGCTTGCCCAAGGACACAACACATGACCAGCCCTGACCCTCTGATCATGAGTCATATATCCTTTACCACTAGGCCACACTTGCCCTAACCACTAGGCCACACTCCATTGTATACCCAATCATTAAAGTTTAAATAAAGTGCCATCTCTGAATTTGTCTGTGGTGGCCTTGGTGGCCATTTTTCGAAATGGAGGGTCTTAGTTTGAGCGTTCAGCTTTGTAGGGTGGCAAAGACATTCAATAGTTTCATTCGGAATAGTTTGAAAGACAAAAGTTTGAAATATCTCAAGACTATGATAAATCTGTGAGTGGACCCCCACAAAATGTATAAGGTATAATACATTTATATACTACATACCATCCTTTGTGTAGACTGTTCTCTGACGGTGGCAACTTCTCCCCTGAGGAGATCGACTCCTACAAGAAGAAGCTGGAGAAACTGGCCATCAAGATAGACTCGGCTGAGGGCTTCGTCATGGCTGACCTTGAAGGCATGGAGGCGAGGAGATTGGAACAGGCGCTGGACATTGCTAACAAATTTGAAGACAGGTACAAAACCTAGGGGTGTAGGGACGAAAAACAAGTATGGACTATAGAGGAACACATTGCATGCATGCATTGGTTCGCTGTGGTCCAATGGTTACGGTGTTCGACTCGTGTGCCGTGGTACACGGGTTCGAATCCTGACCGTGGGAACATAGTGCTTGTGCTCTTGAGCAAGGCACTTTACCATTATTGCTTCGTCCTTCGGATGGGACGTAAAGCCGTAGGTCCCGTGTGTTGTGTAATGCACGTTAAAGAACCCAGTAACACTTGTCGCTAAGAGAAGTTTTCTGGCAGTGGCAGCAATATGCGCTGCAGCACCTAGCAAAAAGGTGCTACATAATGGGTCTCATATGTTCATATACTTCATTTACCTGGCTTTGGTTGCATTCTCCCCCAGCGCTTTGTATCCTCTGGCAAAAAGCGCTATATAAATACAGTTATTAATATTATTATTATTATGATTAACCCTCCAGCTAGTCTTCTGCACTTCACAACCCCTTAAGGTTCGCAAAACTGCTTTTGCTCATAGAGCTAGCACACGCACTTCAGATTGCTTTGAGGTAGTCTTGGATAACACTAGAATAACACTTCAAATCCATGCAAAATTCGGGCGATTCACAATGCAGTGCGCCACCAAGAGTTTGCCATGGAGAGTTCATTTTTCCCAGTGCATTGTGGGAGATGGTCGACAAATTCGCAGCATGAGACATTTAAAATTGTTTTTCCGGTCAGTAGTTTCGTAAGCGTATAATTCGAGTATCTGTTAGCCCTTTTCTTTTCTTTTATCAATATGGTGTTTTTGGTAAGGCGGCAGAACGCTATGCCCTATCTATAACAAATTAGCTCAAGTTGTCTACTGACACGCATTCAAATGGGCCGTGTTTTGTTGACCGTAAAGTTGAAAAATGGACTCTCCGTGGCAAACTCTTGGTGGCGCACTGCATTGTGAATCGCCGAATTCCTTTGTGTGGTTAAGCTCAGCACAAGCAGGCAGATTCGATCACGCTTCACTGCTCTTCCCAGTACTGTTTTTGTGCAGTTCGTGACTCTATGTGGGACACTTACTTTCAATAACTCTTCATATAATAACTCTTCATAACTCTTCATATCCCTTCACTTTTAACTGACCTGCAGGGTTTTAACAGGTTTGATATTGACTTCACACTAGGAGGGTTAGTAAAAAACAACTCCACGATCACAAAGTGGAATTCCAAGAGCCTTGATTAGTATGTCTTCTTTATGTTTGTTGATTGTGTTTAGGTTCAAGCACCACCTGTTTGACCTGACCTTCATCGAGAAGCTGACCCGCTGGCTGACCAACACCCAGGTCAAGATCAAGTCGGAGGTCGCCGAGAGTAACGCCCAGGCCCAGGCCCTCATGCATCACCTCAACGTGCTGGAGAGACGCGTGGACGCCTGCGAGAAACCTAACCTGGATAAAGAGGTTGGTATCTTGTCATTTGGTTTGCCTTTCTCACCCGCTCTGGAAAAATGAGTCTGATATCACATGTTTTCCAGTTTGGTATTTTCAACTGCGTATGCGCACAATGATATGGGTCACAGGTCATTCAGGATCATCGAACGCTCATCGAAGGCTCATGAACACACACGGACCTGGGCGCTCGCTTGTTAATTACAAGCAGAATGGGCGTCCGCGTAACACCGAGTTGTAACGAGTCACTGATTTTTGTGACTCGAGTCGAGTCAAGTCATTTTGAAGAAGTGACTCGAGTCGAGTCGAGTCATTAGGTCAAGACGGTCGAGTCGAGTCGAGTCGAGTCGAGTCACAGTGTGTAGTCGAGTCGAGTTGAGTCGAGTCAGGTATTTAGCTTGAGTCAATTCCAGTCACAAATATTTGAGCACTATACAATAAATAAACACAAGAGACACCACATTTGCCTCTTAATGAAAATAAAAAGGGGGTGCCAGCTGATCGCCATTCAACTAATGGGGACACTGATCAAACCACGTATGTATAATGTATACATTATTCGCGAACATTCTAACGTGACGTTAACAAAAACCGGCACCGGCGTAAGTCATTGCAAATATTCTTCGCAAAGTTTTGCTTTTATTTTTGGGACTCGAGTCTCATTAGCCTTCATCGAGTCGAGTCGAGTCATTCTGATGAGGGACTCGAGTCGAGTCGAGTCATTTGCTAGCAGTGACTCGAGTCGAGTCGAGTCATTTGCCCTTTGCCCTTAGGGACTCGAGTCGAATTGAGTCACCAAAAATCGTGACACGAGTCGGACTCGAGTCGAGTCATTGACTCGAGTCATTACAACTCTGGCGTAACATCACGTTTCAACACGTCAGCGATTTTATCCAGATGACCTTTGACATAGACTGCTCCATCGAGATACCGAACTGGTTTATTCACAGATAATTCGCCACCAAAAGGTCACCACAGAGAGGCCAACTTGTTTGGGGTTTTTTTGCATGCAATTTTCGTTGCATGCAATGGAAATGTCCCCTAGCAGATTTGTTTTTGGCCATTTGTAAAGTTGTAATCAACATTACTTGAATAAAGATGTTCTTTGATAAAATCATTTTTTTTTCTCTGTATGAATTTTCAACTTATCTTGGTAGTCTAGCCAGGGGTGGATCTAGCTTTCAGGAAAAGGGGGAGTTGAGGGGGTGGGGGCATTCTCTTCCCCCCCCCCCCCCCCCCCCCCCCCGCCAAAAAAAATTCAAAAATTGAAATATATGATGCTTTCTTCTGCTTTCTACTTAAGGCAATTTGACAATAAATTTTTGAACTTTAGCACTCCATATATTATTTTTTGGTCCATTTTACTAGGATCATAAAATTAGTCAGGCGGGGGAGGGGGGGGGGGATCTGCCACTTTAAAGTATACAACTCTCCTCCTCATGTAATATATTTTACTCCAAAATACTGCTTGCTACTGTGAATGGATGTTTAAAAAAAAATGGATATTAACACATTTATTTTTTGTATACAAACAAGGTTGTACCATGAACAGCACAACTCCGAACCAGAGGGAGTCTAACCTGCAACCACTTACCACCCCAAAGCTTTCCAAATATCCCACACTAGTTGCACCTAGTCTAGGGTCAATATTTTGTTGCTGTACATTGGGTACGTGATCATCTGTCGCAAGAGCGTGTTATTACACGGAATAAGTATCACCACAAAACGCTATTGCAACTATTTCTTGTGGATCTTGTAAAATTCCCCCCCCCCTGAAAAATGGGGGAAAATAGTGCGCATGTGCTATTTCTGCGGACAAATACGGTCCATTTTCGGATGTACGCGTACTACACACGACAAAAAGAGCTGCCATGAAATTGCACAAAAGTCTTGGAGCAACAATTTATTTACCTAAGACTACTAGAACCCCCAAACTTGAAAGAAATTAGAGCTCTTGTAGACAGAAAAGCTATTATTTTATTGTGTCTCCACTCCCCAACAGCAAATCACGCCCACCCAGCTACTGGACAGTCTCAAGCTGGTCTTCCAGGCCTTTGATGATCGCAGCAAGTACATCAACTGCCTCCGTCATCCGACCTTCCTCATAGACTCCCCGGCCAAGAAATCGGGCCTGCCCAGCCAGAGCGCCAAGGTGGCCTTTACTGGAGAGGAGAAACCACCAACACAACAGACGGGTCAAGGGTCAACGGCCCTGACAACCACGGTTACATTGACGACGCTGAAGGCCGCCAAACCTCAAATTGAGGACTCAGCTGTGTCGCTCATTAAGAACATACTGACGTGAGTTGATCCAAATATTTCTGACCATCCAACATCAAATAGCTGTAAAGTCAAAAAATTTCACTTTTAGAAGTTAGTATTTTTGAAAAGAGTAAATCAGCAACTTCAAAATGCTTCCAAACTCAATACTCCTATACAACTAACTAAATAAGCCATTTGCGAGTTAAATTTGAATAAAATCTGGAACGCTGACTTAATACAATGCTTTGCACGTCTTAACCTAGCATTCTCCCGACCAAAGAGACTGTTACTATATCACGTGATTCGGGGCAAGCCTTATGCTAGCAACCCCCAGCTCCGGCATGGTCTGGTGTCTTTGTGCCATTCTCACCCATTGTGAACGATGTATTGGTGCTGAGCGTCTCTTACGTAACTATGCAAGAGCTTGCCCCGAATCTTGTGATTAGCAACAGTGTCTTTGGTCTGGAGAATTCAAAGTTAAAATGTGCCAAGCATTCTGAGCAAGTCATTGTACCAGACGTTTTTCAAATGTAAATCCCAAAGGGTATAGGTTACTCGCAAATGGCTTTATTCTGTGTCAGAGCCATAACTTTTGCCACCCCCCAAAAAAAGAGCATGGAAAGAATTCCATACTGGGCCACTGCTCAGACCTCCTGCACTAAGTCTATGGGCCATGACAGAAAAAGTTGAAGTATTTTAAGAATTTTTGCACTCCTTAAAAAGTGTTTCTTCATCAGATTTACAACTTTTGGTACTTTTCAGTTCATATTATGGAATATGAGTGGTGGCCCAGTATGGAACTCTTTCCAAGAGCACAATTCAATATTGTTTAATTGTTCAACACAACTTCAAACAATTCATTTCTATTTATGGTCAAAACAGCCACCCGATTGATTTAAAAAAAAAGACTTTGCCATTGCATGACTTTTAAAGCCTGTTGGTGGTAGACAGTCCCTTTTTTTAAAAAATAGAATCTGTAGTTGTGTCCTTGAAGCAAAGGGAAGCAGGGGCCAATTTCACGGCGCTGCTAAGCACAAAAATTTGCTTAGCACAAAAATAGGTTGTCTTATAAAAGTAGGTTACCAGCCAAAACTCCATGTGATTTTCATGCTAAGCAAATAACAGCTGAATACTAATCACGAACAATACACATGACGTGAAGTTTTGACTGGCTAACTTACTTTTATAAGCCAGGCTATTTTTGTGCTAAGCAAATTTTTGTGCTTAGCAGCGCCATGAAATTGGGCCCTGCTGGACGTGGTGCTTGATTAGAGGGCCAGGGGTTTGATATTGCGTCCCTGGGCCAGTCACTTTACCACAATTTGCCACTCCCCACCCTGGAGTATAATGGGTATTGGCAATAGCTGGGGAGGAGCAACCAGAGACGGGCTGGTATCTGATCCGGGGAATTAGAATTAATCCCCGTCATTTCATGCCAAGGATACCGGAGATAAACACTGACAAATTCCATCTGATACAGGTCCCAAAAGATGAAAGTGAAGCTGAGCGGGGAGGGCGACACACTGGCCGACGCACCCCACACCCCAGGGGTGATCAGACCCCCAGGCACACAGTCCACCATACAGACAGAGGAGGCCAAGGCCCGGGGCCTGGGGCGGGGTGGCCTGCAGGTCAAGAGCCTAGCAGACAAGGACCGAATGAAGCCGGCCAGGAAGGGCATGGGGCAGGGTGTGGAGAGCGGTAATCCTAGGAGAAGTGCCTCAGGGTGAGTGAATGATAGGAGACGACTCTTGTTGAAGACTTAAACAGTTAGGCGTGTGTTCTGGATCCTAATATCACGGAGCCGCGAAGCAGAAATGTTCCAGCAAGAGTTAGCTGTCAATCACTCATATGCATTATACATTGCATATCTATTTGGATGGTAAGGCCAAAAAAAAAACTGTTCTGCTTCCGGTTACCCTACCTACCCTATTTTGACAGCCCCTACCCTAATTTTTTTTTGGAAAAAATGAGGGGAAACACCCAAAACCATAAATTACTACCTTTTACCCTTGACTACACGCAGGCACCTACATATGTGACCTACTGAGGCAAAAGGAGGAATGTCCCCCAAAACCTATTTTTGAGTAATTGATGCCTGATGTCAGATATAATAGAAAATCATGTCAAATTCGATATTGATTGTTTTGTATTTTTGAGTAGCCAAGTTATCCAAGATTCACACTATGCATTTTTGTTGGGAAAAAAAATACCCATCAAAGTGGAAAAACTGAAGAACATTTTTCATTATTTTTTTGTTTGCCTTATGTTTTTTTGCTTAAAGAGCCCGTGACATGAATTTTACTTGGGTACATATTTTGTGCAACTTTCTACTCCTCTTAAATGTATGAAAACTATTTGACATCCCTTTTTGGTTAATTTTATTGAAAAGTGCACTCCTTTAGACGTTTAAAATTTTTCCATACTTTTCCTGACAAATAAGGGCACTGTTGCTGTGATGTCATTTCAGGAAGACACTGTTCAGTTTAGGGGTTTTCTGTTCAAATTGTGAACCCAAAATTTGCTCTTTGAAAATATCTGTGAGAAAAGTTTGCTCACTCGCTTACTGCCATGCACTGACACAACAACGAATCACCAAAGAAAATAAAATTTACGATGGGAAAAATATCCAATATTCTAGCAACTTTTTTATGCTGAAATAGCTGTAACATGAGGTTTCTGCCAGGAATGACATCACAGTTTTGCTCATGAATATGGAAATTCACATTAGAATAAAAACCAAAAAGGCACCAAGATAGCCTAGAAAATGGCAAAACGAATATTGAAAATAAGGTTAAATGGGACGCAAAGGTGCATTTTCAGGGATTGTATTAAAATGATTACATTGGATGGACCCTTTCACTCAATGATTTGCTTTTGTTTGTGTTGATTTCTAATGCAGGGTACAGCGTAATAAACACAGCCACCTCAAATTTGATCCAAAATATTACGTCTTTGGAGATAGACCAGAGCGAGAAACGTAAGTCATTATCCAAATTCTCTCTCCTGTAACTGAAGTAAACCTAAAAAAGGATTTGTGTTCTTTAAATAAAAATTTAGTTCAATTTTCAGTGAAAATGGCCTTGCTTTTATCTGTCCATAACTAACTTTAAACACAGATCTTTACTTTCAGTTGAGCTTTAGTCTACATGCTGATTCAGAGGTAAAATAAATAGTGGGCTGCCCGAGTAATGACAAATAATTATTGAGGAAACATTGCAAACGTGACTGGCCCCTTTCAAGACTTTGTTTTGTATCTAATGTAATTTTGCAAGGTGAAAAAAAAAAAATGTTGGCGGATGATGCCAGCCCGGATTAACCTTCTTGCTTTTGACAAATAGGCACTTCCTAGCGCAGATAAGACGTATCTTGCAGGACGCATTGGAAGGACTGCTGATGACTGCGGATGTAAGTATGATGGACCGTGTTTTCCTCTCACATCTGATGTTAGGGGGACAACACCTTGCTTATCTTTCTCAAACTCCTTATGGTCCAAAAATGGATCCTCACGGCAGGCCCGGATTAAAGTGTTTCGTAGGCCCCAGGAAACAGCATGTCCCCCACCGATCTACGCCCATTGTTGGCACCGTGCTTCAGAACGGCAGACTTTAATCGTAGATTGAATACGTAGGGCCTACATGTAAGCCTACATGCTGTACAGCGTGAGTCGGTGAAATCAAAAATTTGGAGAGAGACCCTAAAACCTTTTAAAAACTTTTCTCTGCGTGTGGGTGTGTGTGTGTGTGTTGGTAGGCAGATAATGCCTTTTATGGCACACTGCAGTATTTTCGTAGGCCCCTGAATTTTTCGTAGGCCCAAGGCATAGTGCTTACTGTGCCTGTTGGATAATCCGGACCTGTCTTGTGGTCGAAATGTGCCTGACGTCACTGAATTTCAAGGGCTGTGAAAGAAGGAATTTGAACCTTTCATGAATATGCCAGAAGCATGTGGAACCAAAATCCCCTGTAGTGTTCATAGATGGTTTGTATTTGCAACCTTCTTTATTTTAAGTCAAATTGTGAAAAAAATGTAAGGTTTATATATTTTCATCATGTAGTAAACTTTTTAAGATTGATGTCGTTATTTGTTTGTTGGTCTTTTCAATATTTTCATTTAATATAATGTCATTACAGTTGCCTTGAAAGCAAATGCTTAAAGCTCGAATGCAATTGTGCACTGAGACAAATGCGATTGGTTTCAAACATCTTGCCACCTGCTTCCTAAAAAATACCAAATGTTTGACACAAACCCCATCTTGTAGATTTGGTATAGACCTTTATCATGCTGCCACCATTGCAATCATGTTCCCTGTATCCAATAACAGTACTGAATGATAATTTTGTGTGTGCACAAAGGAACCAGACTTTTTTCCCCTCCAGCCTCGCTTTGGTTATGTTGATTTGAATGGGAAAAATCCAAATGGCCGCAACACGATAATGGTCTATTGGACAGGCTTGTATGGAAAGAAATTGGCATGGATTTGTTGTTCATCTTTTAAGTCATCTGGCAATCTTAAAAGAGTTTTAGAAAATTTAGGCTCAATGAGTAGACCATTATTTTAGGTTTTACATGAACATTCAAATGCCATCCTAGCCAACTGTCATTGCTGGCGTAAAAGATCAATTTAATTATGTAGTCTGTTTTTCTTTAGAGGAATATTTTTTTTGGAAAGCCTCTTTTAGGAATGTAGATTCAGATTTGAGAAGAACATTTTAATAAATCCATCTTACTTATGTATTAGACACAAATATTTTTGATTTTTCCAGCTGTACTACCGTCAGAAGGGATTGCGGCCACCGACCAGACCACAAGCCATACATGAGACCTTTGAGCTGTGTGCAGACGTAGTGGTTGCTAAGTTACAGTCCTACTTCATCCAAGCTGAGGAGTATCATAATCAGTGTCTGCAAGGTAACAAATCAGACCCATGTTTGCTTCATATTACTTTTCGGTCACATTTTTTTTGCATTCTGTGCTCTGTCTTATACATAGCCCAAACAGTCCTTTAAGCTTCAGCATACGTTGTTTTTACAAGTTATGTCACAAAATTCGACTTAGTTTCAACCAACGTTTAAAAAAAAAGTCTAGTCTTGCTTTCTTCAGAGTACGGCTATGGGCTCTGTGCGCAAACAAGAGAGGGCGCATAGTTACCACATTTGAGAGCCCCTTGGACCGTACACACCGCGTGCTTGCAGTACTGGTTCGCGCGTGTACAGCGCTAAGTACGCTACGCTAATTTTACGATGAATGTGCACATAGCCATACAGGCATGCAACTTTTCCTCAGATCCGCTGATTTCCTCGTTTTTTACTTCTCATGAATGCCATTACAAATTGAAAAACACTGTACAAAAGCTTGTGTAGTTTGTAATTTCCTTTTTTTTGTTGTAAATTCCCAGTTGCATGCCTGGCCGTAGCATCTTCCAATGAGCGTCGGGCGGCGTCGGCAATGAGTTCGAATGTCATTCAAAATGGTCTCCCTAACTCTCCCTTCCTTACCAATTTTAAGAAGCTTGGAAATTATGCACTCGAAAATCATCCGTGTGCAGTCACATTGCAGTAGGTTATGCCACCTAAAATGACTGCATCAGATAAGGAAATTATTGGTTGCATAAAGTAATGGCCTTATGCAGCACTGTGTAACTGTCATGAAATGTTCCATAATTTGTTGCACAATGTTACAAAAAACTTGTAATGTTAGGCCCCCCCAAAAAAATATTCGGTCTCTGGTCAGACCAAAGTTTCGGAATTGACGCGGCCACGCGGCTTTTTTTTTTTTTTTTTTTTTTTCTTTTTTTCTTCAAGCTTGGATTGTACAGACAAGGTGGGGTACTATTTTGTTATTTTGGTGTCCTCATGTACATTGGTGTCCTCCATAATTTGCCTTGGTGCTTTCGATCATTTGCCTTGGTGCAATTTCCCATTCCTTGGTGCTCTTTGGTAAAAAAAAAATTGAGGAGGTGCGGAAATAGAGGGCGCTGTTGGAGCTACCGCGGAACATTTTGGAAAAAAAAAAGATCGACGCGCATGATTAAAATCGACGCGCGCGCTGACCAGAGACCGACTTATTTTTTTTTTGGCCTTACTTTTGGGTCACATTTTTTTGCATTCTGTGCTCTGTCTTATGCATAACCCAAACAGTCCTTTAAGCTTCAGCAATGCGTTCGAATGTCATTCAAAGTGGTCTCCCTAACTCTCCCTTCCTTACCAATTTTGAGTAGCTTGGAAATGAGGAACTCGAAAATCATCCGTGTGCAGTCACATTGCCGTAGGTTATGCCACCTAAAATGACTGCATAAGAAAAGGAAATTATTGGTTGCATAAGTAATGGCCTTATGCAGCACTGTGTAACTGTCACGAAATGGGCCATAATTTCTTGCACAATGTTACAAAACATTTGTAATGTTATCGTGGAGTTATAACGTCGCAGATTGTTATTGTGAAATTGGCTTCTGGAATGACATGGCTGGAACGGTAGGTTGTGCTGTGTAGCCGCAGGCTCCGTGCACAAGTACCCCTTCAAAGGCCAGAAAAGGAGAGTTGGGGGCGGGGATTAGTCTGGGAGACCATTGCAAGTTAAATTCGAACGTATTCACATGCTGACGACGCCTGATGCTCACACGCGAAGACGCTGTGGCTTAGCTTTGTGCACATTCAGGATAAAGAAGTTGTGCGTACTTTGCGCGTGAACCAATACATTACGCAAGGGGATTTGTACTATGTCCACGCAGTGGCCGCGCTTCGCGACAAATGAATTGCAGTCAGGCAAGATGGCGTCGGTCGGTCACCCCCAACTGTACTCTCTTTGCCGGTAAGGGGGTACTTGTGAACGGAGCGGATAGCCTCAATCCTGCAAAATCCTCCATTTTGCAAAGAGCATTTTGGAGGATTTGGGAAGGTTATAGGGTTAATCCTTTCTTGACGTCCAAGGGGCTCTCAAAAGGAGCAAAACTGCGCCCTCTTTTGTTGGCGCACGAAGCCCATAAGCACCCAGAGTATAAACCAATCCGGGCATACCATCTCATCTGTCACGAAGGCCCCCTTCCATGGTGAAAGCATTGTGCTAGCTATTGTTCAGAAAATCCGTCACGAGGCAGTTGCTTCGTACAATACCATGCACAATGGTTTCTCCATTGAAGGGGGCCTCATGAGGGTACAGTGATCACGTGTTCGGATACGTCTATAATGATTGCTGACAATCTATTTCAGAATTCCGAGAGCAGCTTGAACGCCTTGAGATCTACAACGGCAGAGTACCACCGCTCGTGATCCGAGAGATACTAGACAAGCATCTCAAGATATCTGAGACCTCGCTGTACAAGGTGTCTGAGGGATTCAAGAAGAACATGGGCAGATGGGACAAAGAAAGGGTGAGATCATATGTTAACATTTGCACATAAAATGTATTAGTAGTTGATTGAGGAAAGAGCCTTAGGCCTCACCTGCTGTATGGGGAGGTGGCTTCAAGCCAGCAAGTTGCCCGCTACATGGGAATTGTCCATTTCACAGGGGATCAACACATGAACATAAGTTTGGGTTGATAAAACACCATATAAATATTTCTTTGTTTCATAATATTTCTTGGTTTCATTGGGGTGCTGTGGTCCAGTGGTTACGGTGTTTGACTCGTGTGCCGTGGTACATGGGTTCGAATCCTGACCGTGGGAACATGGTGCTTGTGCTCTTGAGCAAGGCACTTTACCATTATTGCTTCGTCCTTCAGATGGGACGTAAAGCTGTAGGTCCGTGTGTTGTGTAATGTATGTTAAAGAACCCAGTAACACTGTCCTTTTCAAAAGAATCCAAGAGAAGGGGTTTGTCCCTGTGTTTCTGGCAGTGGCTGCAATATGTGCCGCAGCACTGTGTATACCCTTTATAAAGGTGCTTCATAATGGGTCTCATATTTCTCATAAACTTCATTTATCTGTCTTTGAAAAAAAATAGACATAATTGCCAGCCTCTTGAGTACCTACATGTAATTGTTGGTAGACACGTATGTTCGCTGTATAAGACTTAGGTATTATTATTATTTTAATGCAATGGGTTTGCTTAGGGAAAACCACCTCCCCATAAGACAGTTGCCATTTTAATTGGTTTCGTGTTCAGACGATTCAGCAGAAAGAATCCAGACCTCTGCATTGCTTTCAATAAACATATAAGCAGGATCTGAAGGCTTTGTTATCTCATGTTGTATTGTATTGCTCAGTCCGAGCATAAGATCTTACTGCGCCCCACCCTGGGCCATCCCCACAACCGCAACCAACTGGAGTCACTGTGTGAGAACGAAGACACAAGGAGGAAGGATTACATCAACGGTGTGGAGGCTAACACACAGAACCTGAAGGTATGGGCCCAACATCATCTAATTGTCCTTTTCAAAAGAATCAAATAATTTCCAAACCGAGAAGTCCCACCGCCTTCCAACCTACTTAGCGAAAGTTCTTTTTGAACAAGTTCTTTTTGAACTAAGCAGGACAAGTCCTTATCAGAACTAAATCTACTGAGCGACATAGTTATTACCACATGGTATTACCGCAAACCGCAACTATAATTATATAATTGATCAAAGAATTGACTGAGTGGGATTTGGACATGTGACTTGTAGAACACAGTAACAACACTTACCATGATTTTGTTCGCTGTTTCATATGACACTTGCAAGTAACATGAGGATCAAGGTCTAATCAAGGGAAGCTAATGGCTAATGTGCCCAATACTTTCCACTGTTTTTAACTAAGTGCGGGAATGAGATTTTTCATACTTTCGTCTGAAATTAGACCTTTTGAATCCGAGAAAAAGACATAATCATTATAGAGAGAAATACATCTTTCAGGCCTTTCATCCAACTTTCAGGCTTGTTTAAAATTGACTCTATCATTCCTATTTGTGGTTATATTAATGCAAGTCGTCATGTGGGGCAAAAGAACAGGTGTCACTTTGTGTGCTTTGATAGTCGGAAGCCTTTTTTCTCTCTCCTCCAAGTTACAAGATGCCCTTTTCTCTTTGGGCATGCACAAAGCTTGTTTCTTTTTGTTCACTGCTGAAGAGGGCACTGGTAACCAGAACATATTTGTGAGGCGCTCTGGCAAAATGAGACAGAACTGGGCAGAGGTTTGCATGTATGACAAAAGAAAAGAAAATTCTCCCTACAATACTGTTTGTTGCACTTCATTCGGACATTCTATTGATGAGTTATGGCTATTTAAAGTTCGCATTTATCGGCATATTAGAAAAATAAAATTCTGAGAAAAAGGCCTTTGAAGTTTTGAGTCTTGTATTCGTGAAAAGATGCTAATTGTTTTTCCTTAAAACAATTTTATTCCACGATTTTTATACCATTTCTTGTTAAACTATGTGTAGTAGACATCAATGATTACAAATATTAAGAAATCTGAAAATTACAAAAAAATTTGCTGATGCTTCCAATTGCTTAAACATTTCAACTGCTACACCACTGTATAAGAAAATAATTCCTCTGAAGTTAGTGTGCTCTATGTTCACTACCAATGGTCTATGTGACAGCAAAAGTAAAACAATTTTCATTAGCAGTGTCATGAAATTGGTCCCTGTTAATCTCATGTCCACTTCTTTTCATTTCAACCAGGACTCGGCCAAGTCTCTGGGTTCAGATTTTGTCCAGGAGCTTGCCAGTACATCAGAGAGACTGCTGTTGATGTTTGACTCACTACTGACCGTCGATGAGGTGGAAGTAGGACGTAAGAATAATTCATCAGAAACTCGTTTGCCAAATCAGGGCCCTACTTGTTGGCTCTGCTAACCATAGAAGTCTGTGCAAGTGATCACTAGTCTGCGCTTACAAGCCAAACACAGAGATTCAATGTTTATCCTGTAAGCACATAAACCTTAGGCAGGGGATGCACGCATGTGCAAAAGCTTAAATTGCTTGCTAGCTCTTCAAATGTGCTAACTACAAATTACCTGCTTAACAAGCAAGGGTTCTTCGTGAAATGAAATTTGGCCTTAATTACATAGTGTTACAGCCAAAGAATTTATTTGTAAAAGATTTTTTTTGTACAGCGCATGTTTATTTACTCCGCATGTCTTCTTGGCTAGTGCTTAACATTTGGTTTGACGTTTGTTAATTTTTTTGAGACCAGGATAATTCTGGTTGCTTTCAGGAATTTGTCCCAGAAATGAAGGCACAAACGGAACAGAACATGTATGAATTTGCAGAAGTATAATTCTAAGTCTGCAAAAAGCTTACCGACTGACCAAAGTTAAATTACAGAAATTAGGAAGGCCTGACATTTTGATTAACGGAGAATCTTTCTCCTTTCAAAAACAAATCCTATGTTTACATCACAACCTCATTTGTTTCTCCTAGGTGTTGATCCTAAACGTCTCAAGACGAGCGCCCTGATTCGCCGCAAGAAAGCCGGCCTGCCATTGGAGGACAACGAGTACGTGCCGCTCATCAAGCGGGGCAGTCGCCAGTGGGCCGGGATACCGACTGACCAGCTGAACGAGGAGAAACAACGGCCGGTCAAGCCTCAGCTGACCGCTGCAGTGACCACCGGGAAGACCACGCTGGCCCACCAGGCTCTGGTGGATGCTAGGGATGACGTCTTCAAGGTAAGAAGCAAGGCTTTATAAGATATTCTAAATACGACGTCACACAAGGTAATTATCGGGCAACTTGTTCCAGGCAATGTGCAAGAAGAACATGACAAACATTGAATTCCATGTAATATTCTGAGTAACTTACACAAAAGGGGTGCCATTGGCTAGTAGTTCATTGGGATGCCCTTACTTTCGTGCAAACCATATTTTCCTCTTCATTTGGATTTTGCAAAAAAAATAGATTACAGTTTGGCAACTTTGCCGACATATTTATGTGCATTAATTTTTGTTTAGCCGATGTGAAAATCATCAACTGATGATGTACGCATTTGCAGCTGGAAAACCAAACTGGCCTCTTTATCCTCATTCTCTGAAGAAAAAAGACACCCCAAACTGTATGACTGTCTCAAGAGTTAAACATTCACAGAAATTGAACTTGGTGGAAACAATGTTGAAACAATGATAAATGCAATTCTTGCCTGCCCCTGGTGTCCAGAGAAGTGCACATACGGTGTTATGTGTCTGCTGGGGAAAGAGCCGGAAGAAGTAAAATAAAAAAATGCAGGGGGGGGGGGGGGAGAGGGGGAAGGGGAACACGAGTAATTTTTTTTACAAAGTTTGTATAAATACTCAAAATCAGAATGTTGGAGTCTTTCTTGTGCATTCATCTTTGTTTAAGAACTTTTCAAAGCATTTTTCTCTTTTGATATCTGTGAAACAAAACTAATGAAAAAAAATGTGCAATACGAGAAAATAACCTGTTGCATGAATCAACCATTCCGTTCAGCTTAAATTATTTTGTTTGGGGATTGTCTTCTCATGTAGGGGTTGAAGACAAAATATAAAGTTCATGTGCTCTTGAAGGCATACATCAAAGACAAAAGGTTATCATGTTTCACAGGCCCTATAAAGGCCCCAAGAATTTCCTGACATTCTAGCCTCCACAAACAGCCCCAAGTTTAGCCTGAGGGCACATCCTATCGGCCCCCGGCCACCCTATACCCAGCCTTTCCTCTTCCCATTAGCCACGCGGATAGCATTAATCTAGGAACAATGAGGATGACGTCGGCTTTCAAACATGGACAAGCCCGATCGTATCTGGGTATCTCGGTTCCTACAGGATCCCTCATCCATCATGTGCATGTTAGTCTGTCTGCTCTGCGTTTCGTCAACGACTCGTTGGACATGTGGGTTTTTTTTGGACATGTGGTTTAATTGAACACATTCTGCATGAACCAGTTTTTGAGCACAGGGGTCGGGAGAACAAAAGGAAGATTGTACGGGCAATGGATCGATCATCTGCCAACTCGCGCACGTGGGCAACAACACGTACGACTGCCCAATGCCTTAATATTCCAGGGGCGTGCGTCATACATGTTCGTACGTGCACGCATGCCAGACTTTTGTTCCTGCTTGTCGGACATCAATCAAGGTAGTGATTGATCTATATATTGAAACAGTACAGGGCACTCATTATGTGGCGTACTCATGATAAGCAACGTGAAAGCACGTGATGCATGTTATGCCCTCTAATTTTTTCAGGAGAATGCGCAAGCCTTAAAAGAAGCATGCCGTAGCTTAATTTTGTCCATAGTAAGAGCACTGGTTTCTCAGTATACAGTGCCCATATAGGTGCGGTTTTAAACCTAGATATGTATTTGCTTAAGTTGGGCCAGCTCGTTTAACCCTCCAATTCAAACCAATTCAAACATGCATTCTGTGCAAAGTTGTCCTTTCAGTCAAAATCAGTCAAGTGACCGTTGTTATATAAGAGCTCCCAGCCTACATCAAGCAGGATTGACTGGCTGTGACTGTTTATGTAACTTGATACAGCTATGCTTTGACTGTAGGTGACCACCAGTTTCCTGCTTTTGTCTGTTGACTGAATTTGACTAGTCATAGTGTTTGCCTGAAATATGGTCTGACTGTTGGTGACTAGCCTGTGTAAAAGGCATGACAGGGAAGTGGATGGAAATTTTGACTGTCTGTGACTGTTCAAACGGTAGTAGGGTTAAAGATGTGGAGTAAACCTTTTTTTTTTCTGTTTGGAGAGGATAGAGACTTCAATATCAAAATCAATATTTTCAAAAATAATACTTTTTTGATGAAAAGGATATATGATGCTTCGTCCCTCTATAGATTGTTTGCACTGCAGCCATGTTTGAGGTGTGTGCTTTTGTTCAACAGGGATGCGCATGAGTAGCCCTCTTGTGCTTTCACTGTTAATGAATTAACATAAGTAAAACACACCTCCCAAGATGACTGCTTTATGCAATCCATCTATAGCTGGGTGATTTAAGAAAAAAATATTCCAAATATGTGACCGGCTCTACCAAAAAAAGGGTATTATGTCGCAAAAAAGTGAAATTGAGTTATACACATGGTTGGAAAGCCCACAACGTAAGCTTTCATTTGGTATATAATAGAGCTCCATAGCCCCTCCCATTCTGGAGATATGACGTATTTGCATATTAATTACTTCCTTGGAGTTCAAATTGCGCGACTGAGAAAACTGGCTTTGTTGTAGAACAACAGAACGATGCACACACAATGGTTGGGTTTTTTTCCACTTTGTTCATCAAAATCAAAATTTCTGTGAATGAAACCTATATCTTTAGGTATTAAAGATGACCTTTTTATGACAATAAATGAAAATCACATTTTGACAAAATTTTCACCCTCTCAATGTTGAGCGGACCATTACACAATAATGCTCAGCGCGACTTAATACCCTTTTTTTTTGGAGCCGGTCACATATGGTTTCTCTTTTCACAAAAGTAACAAATAACAATATTAGAGTGAACGTTAATCTGTGTTGGTAGTTAGATGTAATTTTAGAGGTAAATTTTGATCACAACACCAGAAAATTTCGTACCTGTATTTTTCGACCGAAACTCCGATCTTCATCAGCACAATTTAGCGCTTAAAAGTTGTCTGCTATGCTACTTGGGATATACCGTACATCTACATGTATGCAAAAGGAACCAGTGTGTTGGACAGGGACTTTTTTTATTAGATGTCTAAATGTGAATGTTACATTTTTAGAGGGGATGCCTTAGCAAACAAGAACCTCTGAAATCTTTTTTCATGCAAATTCCAGGAAATAATTGTTAAAAAATTGAAAAAAGAACATTTTTAGGAGGGACATAGAACCTTCCCTTAACTTGCTTCATATTTGTATGAGAATAGATGCCAGCGGTAAAGATTTTAACTTCTCCCCGATATAGAATGTCAGCTTTATTGTACTCCCTACCTCTGTCGTTAGCTTCAAGTGGATCAGGGCCTGGCATCCTCTTGGGAGATATCATTTTCCTCCAGCCCTTAGTCTGCTGAAACTGTATACCCACCGTTTTGTTCTTTATGAAGGCAAACAGGTTATCCAAGGACTGATTGTTCCTTCCTTGTCTCTCCCTGGCTTCTTGGTTAGGATTGTTGCCAAGGAACTCTGATTTATTTTTATGAGATTCAACCCAAGTAAGGCCAAAAAAAAAAAGTCTCCGGTTTCTGGTATGCGCGTCGCCGTAGCCGCGCGCGTCGCCGTAGCCATGCGCGTCGGCAAAATGAAAAAGTTTTTTTTTCAATAAAAGATGATGTCTCAAAACCGCCAAACTCACTGGTTTGACTGGAATCCTGCTGCTGCACAGTTTTAACGTGTTTTTAGATGGGGTTATGACCGAGAATAAGCTTTGTGTGGCCTCTCTGGACTCCCATTATACTTGCACTTAGTTTAGTCGGGCACCATTTGCAGTCATCAGCCAACATTTGAAGCAAAAAAAACAGGTAAAAAAAAAAAGCCGTGTCGTCACACCACTTTTTGGGCAAGCTCCATACCAGAAACCGGAGACTTTTTTTTTGGCCTAATGAAATCAAAGGACTTTACTGCAACACTGACTGGAAAATATCAAACAAAGAAAAAACAAACAAACATAAACAATGGTAATTCACTTTTGGCATCTATCTAAGTGATTTCTCACCAAAAAGATAAAGCAGTTCACTATTTGAAACAAATATAAAATTTTAGAAATAATATGTGATAATTGCTCTGATATTTTTAAAAATTGTCCACTCTGTTGCAATAGTCATTACTTAAGGAATTTTGATTTTGTCAGTGTGTAGCTCTCTTCCTGAGAATTATCCTGAACACATTCACAGAACCACTTCTCGAGGCGTGAGGCAAATATTTATCCTGTTTGATTTCTTTTGCCTCGCGAGGCAAAAACTCACCGTGTTACCCTGTTAAACTCAAGATTAACTAGCCAATGAAATCACGTACTCTGTACACATGATTTTAAGATATATTTTTGAGCAAATGTTCTAAAGCTTGCTGGCTGTGCCCATTTTTTAAATCACGCGACCGACAAACAAGATGCTTTCATTGGCTAGTTAATCTCTTTAGCTTAGCATGTAGCTCAGGTTGACCGCACAGGGTGAGTTTTTCGCCTTGCAAGGCGAAAGAAATCAAACGGGATAGATATTTGCCTCACGGCCTCGGAGAGGCAGAAAGCTCAGCAAAAATTCACCGCACACGGGGATATTTTGTGAGCTACGTACTGACTTTTTGCTCAGCACGTAGCTCTCGTGTGCAGCAGGCTTTAGACGAAACCGGGAATGTAATCACTGTACACTCACCCGACCCCCTTCAATAGCGAAACCAATTTGCACGCTATTGTACAAAGCAATTACCCCGTGACGGATTATCTGAACAATAGCAAGCACAATGCTTTGGCCATTGAAGGGGGCCAATGCGATAGAAATGATAGCGTGCTCAGATTGGTCTATATTATGACAACTGGACCATTTAAAAAACAAAAAAAAAGATAAGTGCCTACAGCTGCAAACTTGCTAGAAAAAAAGAAAATGCTTTTCAACACAGATATTGACCTGGCCATATCGTAACGAAATATCATGTAGGTCCAAAACCTCATTTTTTCCTCTTATTGGAGTTGCTCTTTAACTCTAAAGACCGTTTGGTTTTGGTTTTGGTACGTGGTTTTTCAGCAGGTGATGTAATT